TACTTGGGAGTCAGAGGCAGGCAGATGGATCTCTATGAGTTCAAGGACAGCCTGGTCTACAGAGCAGTTGCAGGACAGGCTCCAAAGCTACACAGAGAAACCCTATCTTGAAAAACAAAACAAGAAAACAATTAAAAGAAGTTTAACAATTACCTATTATAACTGATCAAAAAACATTTTCTTTCATTTTTTTGTGATGCTATTGTTTGTTTTTGAGACAATGTCAAGGGGCTCTTGCCCATCTGGAACTCACTGTGAACCAATGTGCCTCAAACTCCCAGTGTGGGTTTTAAAGGCTTATATTAGTATCGTTTATATAAGCTGTTTTTTATTCCTTAGTAATGTTAAGTAATGCATTTACTACTTCTCCCTTAAAATCTTAAAATCTTAGCCTATCACTTTTAGGACATTTCTTTTTAAAATTTCACTAGTATTTTAAATACCAGATTTTTATTGTTTTTAGTTTTGGCCTCTCTTGAGGCTACTTCTAATGTCAATATACCAGTGATCGTTCCCATTTTATATGCTTAGAACAGGGCATGATAGGTAGTTTCCTCTTGGGAAGTCAAGACTATGTTCTGAAATTATTGTAGACCCCTAGGATTATAGAAGGTATATGCCAAATTCATATACTCTTCAGTGTCTGTACCTTGTTCTTATCCTCTGGTCTCCGTGGCTGACGTAGGACCTTGTGCATGGTGAATGCAGCTCCACTACTGAACTACAGCCCGAGCCTCTTTGGTTTCTTAATTTTAAGCATTGCAGAAATGAAAAGAAGGGTTTCTTTTACCTTCTTTTTGCATTTGGGAGGGTACACCACAGTCCATATGTATAGGTCAAAGGACAACCTACTTCTCCCTTCCATTATGTGGGTTTAGAGGTTGGAATTCAAATTGTCAGGTCACATGGCTTGGTGGGAAGTTCCTTTACCTGCTGGACCATCTTGCAGGCCCCTTGAAAAAGGATAAATTATTTGTTCATGAAATCTTCTGGTAAATTTGTCACATTGAATCTGTCTTAAGAGAACACAAAATTCTTTTAAAAGAAAACATCATTTAAGTTGGCAAGAAGATTCAACAGGTAAAGGTGTTTACCACCAAGTCTGACAATCTGAGTTCAATTCCTAGGACCCAAATGGTGGAAGGAGAGAATGGACTCTGGCAAGTTATCTTATGACTTCCACAAGTATGCCCAGGCACATGTGTGCCCATACAGGTGCAAACACCAAATAAATAAATATGAAAATGTAGAAACAATAAAAATGTCAGGGATGGTTGCATACATCTTTAATTTCAGCAGTCAGGAAGCAGAGCCAGGTGGATCTCTGTGAGTTTGAGGCCAGCCTGGTCTATATAGTGGGTTCTAGGCCAGTTAAGGCTATATAGTGAGGCCCTGTCTCAATAATAACAATAATAATTTAAAAAATTGATATGTATAAATGGCCCTTTCAGATTGCTGTGAAATTCAAAGTTCCATCTTTAGAATACAAATGTATTCAGATGTCAGCGCTTCAAAAATGATACTGAAACACCTTGATAAATACTGTATAACAATAGCTAAAGTAGTCTAAAGCAAAAATTAGTAAATTGTCCTGTAAAGAACTGCTTAGTGGGGCTAGAGAGATAGCTGAGGGTAAGAGCACTGGCTGTGGCCTGGAGAGATGGCTCAGAGATTAGGAGCACTGGCTGTTCTTCCCAAGGTTCTGAATTCAATTCCCAGCAACCACATAGCATACATACATACATGCAGACAGAGCACTGTATACATAATAAATAAATAAATCTTAAAAAAGAAAAAAATCACTGGCTGCTCTCCCAGAGGACCTGGTTTAGTTCCCAGCACCCAAGTAGTAGCTCACAACTACTATCTCTAACACCAGCTCCAATGGATCTGATGATCTCTCCTGGCCTCTTCTGGTTTCTATGGGTACCAGGCATACAAATGGTACACAGACATATATGCAGGCAAAACACCCATATGTATAAAATAAAATAATAAAAAGTTAAAACTATGGGCTAGAGAGATGGCTCAGAGATTAAGAGCACTGACTGCTCTTCTAGAGGTCCTGAGTTCAATTCCCAGCAACCACATGGTGGCTCACAACCATCCATTATAAGAGCTGGTGCCCTCTTCTGGTGTGCAGATATACATGGAAGCAGAATGTTGTATACATAATAAATAAATAAAATCTTTAAAAAAAATTTAAAACTAGTTAGTAATCATGTTAAGCATTGTGTTTCATGAGTCTCTGTTAGAGAAATTAAAGTTTCCTACTGTAGTACAAAAAAATGTAGAGTATATTGAAATGTAGCCAAAGAATACATAAACAATGAGCAAAAAAAACTCAACTTTTTCTTAAAATAACAGACAGCTAACTGTAATTTACAAGTGAACTTCAGTTTTAAAATCGTATATAGGAAGTGGGCTGCAGAGCTGGCTCAGCGGTTCAAACCACTCACTGAGAACTCTTGCAGAGAACCTAAGTTTGAGTTTCCACACCCAAGTTAGGGCTCACAACTGCATATAACCCCAGCTGCATGGGATCTAGCATACTTTTCTGGCCTCTGAGTATGTGTACACACATGGCACATACTCATATAAATATATACATATAAGTAAAATATATATATTTTAAAACATATTATTTAGAAGAATGGTTTATTGAGTACACTGCAATGGGGCATTGGACTAGACAGTAACTAGAATGCTGCCTGCAGGCAAAATTATTTTTAGAATACGTTATTACAGAGAATAAAAATCATTTAGAATAATAAGATGAGCAAGCCTCTATGGCATATCTTGTTTTTCACTAAGTAATAAATCCAGAAAACTGGACCCTAAGCATCAGCTGTCATATGTTATGACACTGCTATGTCTTGCAGCAAACATTTTGGAAACTTGTTTTATTATTGATTAAAAACCTTTTAATATGTAATTAACACATTTGATAGCATACACTTAGAATACCTTCTTTAACAATTAGGGAGCTATTAGAGAAATTAATGATTTAAAGTTTCCTTGGTTGAACAGAAAATAATCATTAATATATCTTTAATTATGTTCTTCTACAATTGATATGGTAGTTATTTGGAATTTCCATCTTGAATATTTTTAAGACTTTCCAAAAATTGTATGTGTGTGAGTGTTTGCCTGTATGTATGTATGTGTACTATGTGTGTGCCTGGTGCCTTCAGAGTCTAAAAGGAGGTGTCTAATCTCCTAGAATTGAGTCACAAACAACTGTGAGCTATCATGATTGTGCTAGTGCTCCTAACTGCTGAGGCATCACTCTAGTCTCCTGCATATTTATTTTTCTTCTGTTCTATGAATTAACAGAGTATGATTGTAGATGTCAGTTAAGATATTTAATCATCAACCGTGGGTATGTGATATATGTAACTCATCTGACAATTCATTTGAAAATTTATTTTAGGCCAGCAAGGTAGATAGATCAGTGGCTAAAAGCACTTGCTATACAATCCTAGCAACCTTAGTTTACAGCACCTCACCAGCTCTTACAATCTCTCTACTATAACTCTTTTGTAGCCTCTAGGAGTAACCATAATCTTTATTTTTGTTAATAGGTTTTGTTTTTTCATTTTCTGAAACAAGGTCTGTGTCTTGTGTAGCATAGGCTGGCCTCACACTGATAGCCAGAGTTGGCCTTGAACTCTCTTGATCCTCCTGTCCCCCATCTCCTAAGTGCTAGGATTACAGGTATATACTACTATGCCTGGCTATCTATCTATCTATCTATCTATCTATCTATCTATCTACCTACCTATCTATGTATCTTGACAAGGTCTCCCTACATAGGCCAAGTTGTCAGCCTTCTGAGTGTTGGAATTACAAGTTTACTTTTCCATATATATATATATATATATATATACATATATATATATATATATGTATATATATATATAGTTTTGTCACCTACATGTGTATCTCTAAATAATATAGCTTATTTTTACCATTTTTAAATAAATTTATGTTTTTTTGTTTTTGTTTTGTTTTTAGTTTTTTGGTTTTTCAAGACAGGGTTTCTCGTTTAGCTTTGGAGCCTGTCCTGGAACTTACTCTGTAGACCAGGCTGGTCTTGAACTCAGAGATCCACCAGCTTCTGCCTCCCAAGTGTTGAAATTTAAGGTGTGTACCACTGCCTGGCAATATTCATATTTTAAATAAAATCATACAGATGAATTTTTTAGTGTTTAGTGTTAGTACTTGAATACTGTATTTATTTGAACCATTATGAATATGAAGCATTGCTCCATCCTGCCCTCCAGAAAATGATTCCATTGATGACTTGTTACATGCTTGGTGCCTCTTCCTGCTCTTTAACTGAATTTTCTACCATTCTGGACTCTGTGACAGGGTCTTAGAGCAATTATGTTAGAGGTTAAAAGGACATGGCTTTTCAGACTTCTCAATATCTCTGTATGATCCTCTATCACCTTGTAATTGTTATAGTGACATAACTTTGTTATACTTCATTTTTTGTTGTTTTATTTGCCTTTTAACATTTTAAAAAATATTATTTGTGTATGTGTGTATAAGATGTGAGTAAGGATTCATGTATGTCTTGGTGCGCATATGTATAGTGGTGTGTGTATGTATCATGGTGTGTGTGAAAGTTGGAGGACAGCTATAGGAGTCCATTCTATCCTCTCATCCTGGGATCAAACGTAGGTCATCAAGATCACTTATCAAGCACTTTTGCCTGCTGAACTATTTTTTTCACCCTTACTTGCATTTTTTGAGAAAGCCACACTCTATAGCTCAAGCTTTCTTAAAACTCATGGCCATCCTTCTATTGAGTACTGGGAGTACAGGCATGAGCCACATGCCTGGATGACTTTGTTATATAAGCATAAATGTTAATGTATTTATATATTAGGTGTTTGTGTGTGTGTGTATATGCAAATGTGTGCTTGTTTTTGACTACAGGAAACAATTCAGTCAAAAGCATTTTTATAAATATAATAATTTGTTTTTTTCAGGTGAAACTTCCACCAATGATGGAAATCATAACTGCAGAACAGCTGATGGAATATTTAGGTCAGTGCCAAAGACTTGGTGATTTTGTATCTTTACAAAATTAAATGAAGTTTTCCAAGCTGTTATTTTACTGGTGCTATTATATAATCTATTTTAAAAATTATAGTTCTGAATCTGCTAATTAAAAATTTTAACAGTATGTTCCTATTCTCGGCTGTTACAACATTCTTCTGACCATCATTAGAATCCTGAACTATAAATAATAAGACTGGGCAAAGTCCAGAGAATAGCACACTAATTAATTAATCCTAGTAAATTGCAGAGTGAGAAAAGATACAGAAACTTTGACATTAGAAAAATACCTTTTTAGCTGGGTGATGGTGGCACATGCTTTTAATCCCAGCACTCGTGCGGGAGGCAGAGGCAGAAGAATCTCTGTGAGGCCAGCTGGATTTACATAGCTAGCTCCAGGTCAGCTAGGGCAGTTACATAGAAAAACCCTGTCTTGAAAAACCAAAAAGAAAGGAGGGGAGGAGGGAGAGAGGCAGGAAGGAAGGAAGGAAGGAAGGAAGGAAGGAAGGAAGGAAGGAAGGAAGGAAAGAAGGATGGATGGATACCTTTTTAGAATTGTGTTGACTTGGATTAAAGTTGAAGGAGTTGGGTTGGAGATGTAGCTCAGTGGTGGAGCACTTGCCTAGGATGTATGACGTCCGGGATTTAATCAATAAAGTTGAAAAACAAAAACAAACATAACAAGACACACACACACACACACACACACACACACACACACACACACAAGAACTTATGATATAAGAGAAAAGAAAAATATACAGCCAAGGTAGCCAGAGGTTTTGGGGTCATGGGACTTAGCTATTTAGAATGGCACAAAGTAATCCAGAAGAGAGGGAGAAGGAATGGGAGTAAAGTGAACAGAGTCCATGTAAAATCATCTACTTAGGATCAGTCTGGCCCGAACAAGTGGCTTAAGGTCCTAAGCTAGTTTGAGATTACTCTAGTTCTCTGAAGGAGTTAGAGATATTTATTTTATATAGCATGGAGGAGGGGGTGCATGCACATGAGCTTCAGTGCAGGGAGGGGTTCCATGGATCACACTTAAGTCATCAGGCTTGTAGGGCAAAGTGCTTTTACCTGCTGAGCTATCTCAACAACATGGGATGTTATAATACTTGAGTTAATGTGCAAACAGTAGTGGAAGGATTATAAGAAAAACCATTAGTTGTTTTCCAAACATCTAGGTGAGATACCCCAAAGGATGGGAATTATGTGTGTATTTGTGTGTGTGTGCATATATACATGTGTAGTCATACATGGCTGTATGCCAGAAAACAAACTCAGGTGTCATTCCTCAGACACTGTCTTTTTCTTCTTTTTGAGACTGAATGCTTCACTGGCCTGAAGCTTTCCAACAAGTATAGGCTGGCCACTAAACACCAAGAATCCCCATCTCTGCCTCCCTAGTGCTTGGATAACAAGCATGCACGTTCAGCTTTTGGAAGTTCCATTTATCTACTTAATTGATTTTGAAATAAGATCTTGCTACATAAACCAAGCTGCCCTCTAGTTCAAAAATCCCCCTGCCACTGCCTGCAAATGCTGGCATTACAGGTGTAATTTACACCCAATAGAAATGGGAATTTTGCCTGGTGAAGGTTAGAGGAAAAGCAAATGAGTTTCATTTTGGAAATTTCTGCTCCTAGGTAAGACGTGGGCCAAATGCAGCTGTAACTTGTTCAAGTATTTGACATAGAGAAAGGAACATAGGCATGTCGATGCCTAGACAATATTAAGAAGTCTAATTAAGTAGGAGAGCAAGGAAAGAGATACCTTGATAGAGGGAGCCATTGTGGAGTTAATGAGAAAACTGGCACTAGAGAAATTCCCAGGAATCCACAAGGATGACTCCAACTAAGAATCTAAGCAACAGTGGAGAGGGTACCTTAAATGCCCTCTCCCTATAATGAGATTGATCACTACCTTAAATGCCATCATAGAGCCTTCATCCAGTAGCTGATGGAAGCAGCAGAGAGTCACAGCTAAGCACTGAGCCGAACTCCTGAAATCCAATTGTAGAGGGGAAGGAGTGATGAGCAAAGGGCTCAAGACCATGTTGGGGAAACCCACAGAAACAGCTGACCTGAGCAAGTGGGAGCTCACGGACTCCAGACTGACAACTGGGGAACCTGCATAAGACCAAACTAGGCCCCCTAAATGTGGGTATCAGTTGGGGGCCTTGGGCAGTCTATGAAGCCACTGGCAGTGGAACCAGTATTTACCCCTAGTGCATGAACTGGCTTTTTGGAGCTCATTCCCTATGGAGGGATACTTTCTCAGCCTAGATGCAAGGGGGAGGGCCTCTGTCCTGCCCCAAATGATGTGACAAACCTTGATGATCCTCCATGTGAGGCATCACCCTCTCTGAGGAGTGAATGGGAGTGGGATGATGGGAGGGAGGGGGAACTGAGATTGGTATATAAAATAAGATTTTTTTAATTTAAATAAAAATTTTAGTTCAAAAAAGAAGCCTAATAAAATAGAGTCGGAACTAGGCTAATGAGGTGGTACATAGCTACGCTGTGTGGGGAGACCTCAAAAAAAAAAATGAGGTAGAAAATACAGACTTGACAAATTAAGACACTTGCTGGCAAGCCTGATGATGTGAATTTGAGTCTTGGGCCTCTGGTGCTGGAACAAAGAACTGACTCTTGCAAATTGTCCTCTAATTTCCATACTTCACCTCCCAGATAAATAAATGTTGTTTATGTTTAAGATCTTATACAAGCTAGGATGTATGTTGTGACTGCAACCATCCCCAGTAGTAAGGTGATGAGACAAGTATAGTATAGTAAAGAAAAATAGTTGGGATGATGGCCTCATTGGGCTTTTTAAAAATTATTCTTTGAAAGCCGGGCATTGGTGGTGCACAACTTTAATCCCAGCCCTCCGGAGACAGAGACAGGAGGATCTCTGTAAGTTCGAGGCCAGTCTGGTCTACAGAGAAAGTTTCAGGACAGCCTCCAAAGCTACACAGAGAAGCCCTATATCAAAAAACAAAACAAAATATCCTGTCAATACAAATAAACTATAAAAATAGACCAGTATTAAAACATTTTAATTTTGACTACAGTTAACTATGTCTTCTTCTCTAAGATCATCTGGGATAAACTAACTACTACTTGCCAGATTCTATCCTAATGTAAATATTGGTTTTGTTTTTAATTTTCAGTTGCCTAGAACAGCTTCTTAGTAACAAATTCTGATTGGGGACTTTCTTTGAAATTTTTTTCTCTGTGCACTGATATTTCAAAGGCTGTGAATTCTTATTCTAACCTTCTAGTTAGCCTATGCCAGTATACTCTTCTGAAAGCATCAATTTCATCCTCCATCTAGCTTAAAATCTCAAGGGGGTAGGATATGCCTCAGTGGTAAGCCATTGTCTAGCACTAGACCTTACCCTCCACAGTAGGAAAAGTAAATAAACATAAACATAGATACGTGTGCATATATACATCCTTACTGTCTGTTATAGGCAACCACACATTATATAACTTAGGATTTTTTTTTTATAATCTTGTTAGTTACCAGCCATATTTCCTTCTAAAACAAATTTGACATATTCATCTTTTAAAATAACCCATTTTAAAAACCCACTCATTGACTCAGCTGTTTCACAGGGGTCTTGCACATGCTTGAAAAGCATTCTGTTGCCCAGCTGCAGTGCTAACCCTCTTTCCCTCCAGAGTACTTGCTCACCTACCAGTTCAGGTCCCAGCGTTCATGTCAGATGGCTTACAGCTGCCTCTAACTCCAGACCTGACACTTCTCTGGCCTCTGCAGGCACCCATGTTCACATGCACATACACATACATAACATTTTAAATTTTAAGTGTATATGCTGTGTGTGTGTGTGTGAGAGAGAGAGAGAGAGAGAGAGAGAGAGAGAGAGAGGGAGAGAGAGAGAGAGAGAGAGAAAGAGAGAGAGAGAGAGAAACAGAGACAGACAGAGACAGAGACAGAGACAGAGATCTGCCTTTCCAAGTTCTGCCCAGTTCTGAACCACTTTAGACAGCTCCTTCCAGAGGCTGTTTATAAGCCTGGCTGGCTTCGTTATCTGTTTCTAAAACTACTTGAGATTCAAGCATTTATTTTATTTTACCCTTTGTTATGCTTTATTCTTGATTTAATCTCTGTGGAAAATAAAGATTTCTCTATTTTCAAGAGTAAGAAATATGATTTTTGTACAACCAAATTGTTGATTTTTAAAAGTCACATCTTTGTCCTAATATTTATTTTAAACCATGACAAAAATGGATTTGACTTTCAACAAATATGCAAAGAGTGCTGGGGAAATGCTCAGTAAAATGCCTGCAATACAAGGATGAGGACACCAGTTTGATCTTCAAGAATGCATATAAAAACCTGGGCATGGTAATAGCACTTGTCATTCTAGTGCTGGCGAGATTAAAACAGGCAGCTCCCTGGGGCTCACTGGCCAGCTATTATAGCCTAATGGGTACACGCCAGACCCCAGTAAGGAACCCTATTTCAAAACCCAAGGTAGAAAACTCACAAGTATCAACAGCAGTGACTGACTTCTGGCTTCCATATACTCATGTTTACACACACAAAAGAAATACATTGCCAGAGTAGTGCATATGTAATCCCTGTATTGCAGAGGAGGTAGGTGGGAGGATTCCAAGTTCAAGACCAGCCTGGGTTGCATAATGAGAACCTATCTCAAAACAAGCAAAAGGGGGAAGAAGAGGAGGAGGAAGAGAAGGAGGAAGAGGAAGAGGAGGAGAAAAAAGAGGAGGAGGAGGAGGAAGAAGAAAGAAAGAAAGAGAAAATGCTAGAGAGATAGTTTAGTGGTTAAGATCATATACTGCTCTTCAAAAGGACCCGAGTTCAGGTCCCAGCAGTAAGTGGCTTACAGCTGCCTGTAACTTCAGACCTGACACCCTCTTCTGACCTCTGCAGGCACCCATGCTCACATGCATGTATCTACAAATAACGTTTCTGAATTTTAAGTGTGTGTGTGTGTGTGTGTGTGTGTGTGTGTGTGTGTACTTGTGCACTCACACAGATGAGTGTGCTATGGAGACCAGAAGACCAGAAGACAGCATTGGATCCCCTGTGGCTGAAGTTACAGGCAGTTGTGAACTTCCTGACATGAGTGTTGGGAAGCAAACTCAGGTCCTCTGCAAGATTAGTATTTGCTCTTAACTGCTGAGCTGTCCTTCCAGCCATCTCACACATAATTTTAAAAATAAAATAGTTCTTTTAAAAAAGCAAAGATATTGAAGAGAACAAAAAACCCAAAAAGAAAGAAAAGAAATGCTTCTGTTTTGTGAAACAAGGTTGCTATGTAATCCAGGATGTCCTGGAGCTGGCAGTCATAGGCACCAGAGCTATGGAAAAGAAGTACCTTTTATGTAAACGGTGTTTTAAAAATAAGTACAGACACTATAGTGTGATAATCTAGGTAAAAGTGTACTTTTAAGAGGTAATTTATTTCTGTGTCTAAAACTGAAAGGTGCTTTCTTAGAAGCTTAATTTCTTCTTTTTAAAAAGACTTGATTATAAGGACTGTAAGGCTAGTTCAGTGGTAGAACATACCTTAGCACTCAACAAAGCTCTGGGTTTGCCCTCCAGTGCATCCACACACAAAATCATTCAAATTCTTATATTACAAATTCTTCCTAAACTATATGTTTCCAGCATTGTGTACCTAGTACACTAGGTATCTTGTGCTATATAATAAATCATCCAAAACAATAATAATTTATTTCACAGTATCTTTGGGTCAAGAATCTGGGTGACAGCCTCATTCAAGTCTTAGGAGGCCGAAGACATGGTGCCCACAAGAACCGCCACTTCAGATGACAGTGTAGCTATGGAGAATTGGTAGCTATTGACACACTGAGTTGATGGCAGGACTCAGTTTCTCTTAAGGTGTGGTACTAGAGCCCTTTGTTATCTGATGACTGTTGGCTGGAAGCTTCCTGCCATAGGAAGCTCTCTGTAAGGAGCTTCACAACATGGGAGCTAGCTGTCTTCAGAGTGAGCAGTAGAGAGCACAACAATAAAAGCTACAGTATTTTATGTTCTAGTCATATAAGTGACTTCTCATTACTCTGTCATATTGAAGTAAATCAGGCAGGTGTGATGGAACCCACCTATAATCCCAGCACTGGAGAGACTGAGGCAGGAGAATCATGATTTCAAGGCTAGCCTGGGCTACCAATATGACCCTGTCTATAGAACACGGGAAAAACAAACAAGATAATGAGTCAGTAAATACATTCTATATAGGATATATATATAAAAAGTATAAGTATAAGGAGAGTCTTGCCATTAATCCCCAAGCTTTATTGTGGTGATATTTTGTTTATGATCTAATAAAGCTTGCCAGAAGATCAAATGCAAAGTTTGCCACAGCCATAGAGGCCAGGCAGTGATGGTACATACTTTTTTGTTTTGTTTTGTTTTTTCTTGTTTTTCCGAGCCAGGGTTTCTCTGTGTAGCTTTGGAACTTATCCTGTCACTCACTCTATAGGCCATGCTGGCCTCGAACTCAGAGATCTTCCTGCCTCTGCCTCCCAAGTGCTGGGATTAAAGGTGATGGTACACACTTTTAATCCCAGCAGCCACACTAGCTAGTCAAAGAAGCTGGGTGGTGGAAGTGCATGCCTTTAATCCCAGCACTAGAGAGGATTATAAAACAGGAGCTCAGGGTCTCAGTCTATTCAGTGTGCAGTCATGATGAGGACAGGATTGCTCCAGCCTTGGTAGAAGTAAGAACTCTCTAGTGCAGACCACTCACATTCTCCATTATCCAAATAAATCCATATATAATTTGTTCACAAATTAAGTTTTCAGTTAAATGTAACATCAAAACTTCAACCTAACCAGGTTTCATGGTATATGTGTGAAATCCCAGCATTCAGAATATCATAAATTTGAGGCATCCTGGACTAAATAGAAACTGAAACTGTTAAATACTTGAGACCTAGATTCATACCCCAATACAAACAAAACAATCTGTATAATTTAAAAATTACATATTCGTTACCAGGCAGTGGTGGCACATGCCTTTAGTCCCAGCAGTTGGGAGGCAGAAGCAGGCAGATCTATGTGAGTTCAAGGCCAGCCTGGTCTACAGAGCAAGTGCCAGGACAGACTCCAAAGCAATACAGAGAAACTCTGTCTCAACCCTCCCCCCAAAAAACATATGCTATTCCATAAAGCAATTATTTTAGCACATTGAAGTTCTTCTGTATAAGTAAAATGAAGTCATTGCAGGTATAACTGTCTTAAAATAAAGATTAATGTTACTGGAATTCTTTTTCTTTTAGAGTTGCAAAGCTTAAGATAATATTTGGTGTAGTCTTTATAAGTGTATTTCAAAGTCGAAAGTAAAGGTTATAGTAGAGTAGTTTTGTTAATTCATTAGCTACTTGAGTGAGAAGCTAGTTTCATATCTTACTGTTTCTATCAAAATAAATTCCATTTAAAATGAAATATTTAGCAAGGCAGTGGTGGTACAAGCCTTTAATCCCAGCACTTGGGAGGCAGAGGCAGGTGGGTCTCTATGAGTTCAAAGCCAGCCTGGTCTACTGAGTGAGTTCCAGAACAGGCTCCAAAGCTACAGAGAAACCCTGTCTTGAAAAACCAACACAATGAAAGATTTAAACATTTAAAAGGAGGCACACAAAGATTAAAGAAAGCATATTATTTATCTGTAAGCTCTAAAGTGGTTGAGATCTTTCTGAACATAGCATCTAATCCAGAGTATGCATAGCTATTTCCGTTCTGGAAAAAATAAACAACAACAAACTGTCATAAAGTGTAAAAAAAAAAAAACACTATAGGAAAAAATCTTTACTAAATATATCACAAGGATTGTGCTAATTTCTCTCATTCTGAAAGAGCTTTTAGGGTCAGTGAAGACTTAGTGAGTGAAGGAAGCACCTGCCATCAAACCTGACTACCTAAGTTCAGTCCCCAAGACCTACATGGTAGGAGGAGACATTTGAATCCCACACCTTGTTCTCTGACTTGCATATGTGCACATGCACACACACACACACACACACACACACACACACATGCACTAAATAAATACATAAATAGAAATATGGTAGAAATGTAAAAGCTTTTATAACTCAATAAAATGATAATAAATATACTGATAATTTAAAGAAAAGGGCATTTTCAGTTAATTTTACAGGCAATATGTAGATTGAGGCTATAGTTCAATGGTAGAGCACATATGCATAGTACATGTTCAAGGCCCTAGGTTCTATACACAAGAACTCCACATATCTTCATAGAAAAATAATATGTCATGTATGGCATCCTATGTCTTTATCCCTAGCTCTTGGGAGACAGAAGCAGGTGGATCTCTGTGAGTTCCTGGCCACTCAAGGCTACATAGTGAGACCTTGTCTTAAAAAACAAAAGAACAAGAACAATGCTGCACTTCAGGGGACCCAAGTCAAGTGTACCTACCTGTAGACAGTTCACAACTGTCTGTAGTTTCATTCCCAGGGGATTTGACACCCTCTTCTAGCCTCTGAGGTAACACATGATGCACAGACATATATGCAGGCAAAACATCCATACACATAAATAAAATGTTAAGAAATGTGTGTGTGTGTGTGTGTGTGTGTGTGTGTGTGTGTGTGTACATAGAAAGAAAAAGAGACAGATACATATAAAATTGTGCGCCACATTTTTAAAGATGCCACATATATTGAAAAGTTATATATTATATACATTAAAAAATGATAGCAGTGACTAAGATACTATCCATCAGCTTCTGCCTCCCAAGAGCTAGAAATAAAAGAGTGGTATACATTGGTATAGATTTTTGTACATTGGTATCATCTGTGGTTTTTGAGATCATTGGAGGAGAGGTAGTTAAATTTATTGCAATTGAAGTTGGCACATTCTTTGGAATCTCTATAGGTCATAGAAAGATGCTCAAATATATTGTAAAATGGAAAATAAAAAAGAAGATTCAAATTAGGCCTGATGGCATAGACCTGTAAATCTAGTTGTTCAAGAGGCTGAGGCAGGAGGATCTCTAGTTCAAGGCCAGCCTGGGTACAGAGCAAGGTCAAGCCAAACTGAGCAACTTAGTGAGACTTTGTATCAATGACTAAAAGAAGTGGGGCTGGAGAGATGGCTCAGTGGTTAAGATCACTTCCTGCTCTTGCAGAGGATCTGGATCTGATTCCTAGCACCCACATGGCAGCTCACAATCCTCTGTAACCACAGTTTGGGGAGGCCAATACCCTCTTCTTGACTCAAGGCACACTTATACACAGACATGCATGCAGGAGAAACCATACATACATACATACATACATACATACATACATACATACGTTAGTTTTAAAAAGGGCTGGAGGTAAAGTTCTACATGCTTGCTTGCCATGAATAGGACCCTGGATTCAGTCCAAAGTACCACAAAAAGGAAGAAAGGGAGAGAGGAAAGGGAAAGTTCATGAGCATTATATGTATACCTTGAAGACTATATAAGGAGAATAGTTAACCTTAACTTTCTTTGGGTAGAACTAAGGAGTTGGACGTTATAAGCAACCTGTTGCTGCAATATTTAAATATTTATATTTAAAATCATTTATAAGCGGAGTGTTTTTTAAAGGCAATTTATAATTTCTTTTTACAGGCGACTACATGCTTGAGGCAAAGCCAAAAGAAATTTCAGAAATTCAACGTGTAAATTATGAACAGGTAATAAACATGATTTTTATATTAAAATATGTAATTTTACATTATGAATATACATAATGATCATTGTCTGTGGTTTGAAACTTTTTCTATACAGGACTGGATAGTAAATGTTTTAGGCTTTGCCAGCTACATAAGTTCAAGTCTATTGCTTATTCTTTCTTTTTTTTAAACTACCCTTTGAAAATGTAAAAAACAAAAACAAAAACAAAAACAAAAACAAAACATATCTTAGCTGAGCAACTTAAAACATATTTGGTTCAGAAGCCATAATTTTTGGATTCCTGTTTTCTATGAATATATGTGTTAATGATGTATTGATATCATCTTATAAACCTGTACAGGATAACTTGGCATTTTTCTTGAAAAAAATTGACTCTCAAGTGAATTTGTCATTGATTTATCTTTTCTTGTTTCATTTAAGTTACTATCATTTTTCCGGTGCTAAGAATTGAATTCAATACCTTGTACATGCCAGGTAAACACTCAACCAGTCCTCAAGTTATATTTAGGATAAAGTTGAGTAAACACTGGCTGAGATGTCAGGACACATTCTGCAATTGTGTAATCTCAACACATCCACATTTTTTGGTATGTTCTTTAGAGACTCTGTTCTGTAACGAAGGCACAGTAGGTTCAAAATTACCAAGCTGGGCATTAATAAGCGAGCCTCATTTTCTTCAGTTTTCTTTGTATTTATCAATGAAAGGAAGGAAAAAGAAATTAGCTTTTTTTGTGAAAAGAATGGTCACCTGTGGAGGAAATGAACATCACTGGGGATTCATTCTCACTGTCCAAGTAACCTTTAAAATATGTGATCAGCTGGGCACGGAGAAGCCAGACCTGCATAGATTTTTATGCTAAGTAGGGCTACATAGTGAGACCCTCTCTCAAAAAACAAAACAACCATCAGGAGCAAATTCACAACAGGAAACAAAGTTCATTTTTTTTTTCAGAGTTTATCTTTCCGTCTTTCTCTCTCCCTTTCATTGATTGATTGATTGATTGATTGAGACAGGGTCTCACTGTATAGACTTGGCTGTTGGCTGGCCTGGAGCTCACACCATAGAGCAGATTAGCCTTGGATTCACATAGAAACACCTTCCTCTACCTCCCAGTGCTGGGATTAATTTAGGGAGTTTCTTGAATTTGAATGTTCATATAATCTTGTCCTAATACAATTGAAAAAAAAACAACATCTTGCATTATAGGCAATCAATAACTGAAGTCAACTTTTAGGCTGATTTAAATTTTATTAGAGAAGACTGAAGTATAGCTCAGAAGGACCTATGTTTAGTACTCAGTAACTGGCCCAAAAATTACTAGGAGAATTTGTAGTTTAGAGTAGTGATTTTCAGGGGTTTTTTTTTTTTGTTGTTGTTGTTGTTTTGTTTTTTTGCAATAGAAACTTCTTACTCAATTAATCTTTTTTTGGGGGGGGCGAGGTTCGAGACAGGGTTTCTCTGTGGCTTTGGAGGCTGTCCTGGAACTAGCTCTTGTAGACCAGGCTGGTCTCGAACTCACAGAGATTCACCTGCCTCTGCCTCCCGAGTGCTGGGATTAAGGGCATTAACCCTTAATTAACCGCCTAGCCAATGAAATCTTAACATCAGCTTCTAGTACATAAAATCAATAAGTGATGTTTATTTTTATATTATCTGATTGTTTTTCTAAGCTAGCATACAAAGTAATGTGTTTCACTGTAGAATTTTCATACATGCTTTGTTCTTATGGTACCCCTCTCCTACCCTTCCTCTTTTCTGGTCCTCTTCTTCTCCCAAATAGCCCTTCCTACTTTTCACTTTACATGAATTCCAATACTGTCATTTTTTTCTCTCTCTTTTCCCCTAAACTTTATATTTCATCTTCCCCTTTCAGAGTCCCCTTTCTAATTTCATGACTTATGTGCACACAAAACCAGTAAATAATAGTTCATATATAGGTCGTGGTAAGGTTTCATTTATATCACTTATAAGTTTATATAGTTTCTTACTGAACTCAATGAGGCATTTTTGGATAACATCAAAACTCCAATTCAGAACAGTGGTTGGTTATCCTAGTATCATTTTACTTCTGTTGATGAGTCCTAAGGATCCATATGACAAGTGTTTGCAAGTGACAGCAGCATGTTTGTTCCTTTCAAACAGCCACACAGTCTGTGGATGCATTTCCATTACAGTGGCTTAGACTCCTGAATACTGGAAGAAAAGTTGTGTTTTGAGACAAAGGATATATAAGGACTTAAGGCAATCATTCCTGGTGCCACTGAGATGATTCAATGCATAAAGGAATTCAATTCCTGGAACATGCGTGGTGAAAGGAAACAACAGATTCACCCAGGTTGTCCTCTGACCTCCACATGCATGCTTTGGCACCTACACACTCCTCTCCCAACCACAGTAACCATTTTTCAGACTACCCTGTACTTAAACTACGTATGAAAAGTATTGGTGAAGTTATTCTATACTACAATTCACTTTAAGAATAGTGTGAGCAAGCTACATTCTGGATCTGAGTGCCTGTTTAAAACCCACAGGTGCCAGGCACTCTTTTTAGTGAAACTTTATATGAACTGACATGGTCAGACCTACATTTGGAAAGACCAACACAGAGCTTTGATATTCACGTGAAACCTCTGCCAAAAGCCACCGTGTTGACACTTCCTAGCCTTGCAAAAATAGACAAGGGTAAGAAAACACAGCATGTTTTCATTTTTTATTTCACTTATTTATTTTTGCAGTTGTAGGTTATTAAATAAGGGTTCTATCACTAAGCTGCACCTGACAAGTTTTTTAAATGATCACAAATGTGTTTGTAAAATATTCTCATGTTTAAGCTGGCTGTTTCAGCACACCATGGTAATCTGAGTGATCAGCAGGCAGATGGTGGAGGACTGGAAGTTCAAGGCCTGGCCTACACAGCATGACTGCCTAAAATAAATAAAAGTATGTTTTGTACTTAAATTTAAAATACTTCATTATGCTAGAAGTACCTTTGAGAGGAATTCTGAAACAGTTTTACCATCACCTTAAGGACCCAGTGGTAGCCTCTTAGGGTATCAGCAGCCGTCCATCCCTCACTCCTATATTTTATACCATAATTATCAATTTGGAATTAGGAACAAATTGTCCAAATATTTTCTCTCTTTAACATTTGTGTATAAATGTACCTGTATTATCAGTTTTATTAATTTTGATGATTATTGAATGGTAGGAAATTATTTACTGTTTTTGAGACTTGATCTTAGTATGGAGCCCAGTTTGGCCTTGAATTTCCTGTCTTCCTGCTAGAATTACAGTATGCAATGGTTTTTATTTATTCTATGAGATATATCCTGCTTATTCTTATATTTAATGTTAAAATAATCAGAAAATGGGCTTTAAAATAATTTTCATTAAATTATTTGACATTTATTTTTAATTAATTAATTCATTCATCCATGCACATGTGCCATAGTTTGCATGTGAAATTCAAGAAGACAATTTTGCAGGAATCAGTTCTCTCTTTCTACTGTGGGGTCCATCAGTGAAATTGATCATCAGACTTGTGCAGGACTTTATCTGGGCAGTTAGATTTTGTGATCTGTTTTTTGCCTATCAGACTTTACCTACAATTCCCTTCATTTATTTAGATCTATCCTTACAGGATTCCTTGCTGTCCACAAGTATTGTAATATGCTCATTTTTTGTATCAGTTTTTTGTATTTTTTATTTTTGTTGTTTGATATTGTTTTGTTTGTTTTTCAAGACAGGGTTTCTCTGTGTAGCCCTGGCTGTTTGGATCTCACTCTGTAGACCAGACTGGCCTTAAACTCAGAGACCCACCTGCCTCTGCCTCCAAAGTGCTGGGATCAAAGGTATGCACTGCCACCACCTGGTCAGAATTTAATTTCAAAGAGGCCTTTCTTTCTCTCTCTTCTTCCCTCCTCCCTTCCCTTCTGTCCTCCTTTATTTTTTCATGTTCAATATATTCAGCACAAAATCAAGTACAGGAAAAGCAACTGTTTCCATATGCCTCCCTCTCCTCTTCAACCTTCTCCATTATTACCTTCCCACACCAAGGTAGTATATGTGTTAGACCACACGCAGGGAAGTCTCATCTAGGGAAATAAGAGAAGCGTGGCCTTCTAAACGTTTTTACCTAATAGTCACAAGGATGATGGCCTCTTAAGAAGACCAGAGATAGCCCTTGGTAATTTTGGGATTTGGATCTGCAACATTCCAGTTGTTTACAAGTTCTAATCAATCAGTCAGCTTTGAAGAATCTCTAACATGTGGTGCATTTTTTCTGGGAACTTCAGTTCTCGGATGAACAATCCTACACTGGCACAGGATTGTCACCCAAAGTCAATAGCTTGATTTCACCTTTGGTGTTATATATTCAGTGAATTTTGGTAAGTGTGTGATGGAATGTATCCACCAGCATAACACAGCACAGAAATGTCTCACTGTATGCTGCTAGGTACTCCTCCCTCCCTGATTTGTTGACAACTGATCTTTTAGAGTTCTGTAAGTTCAGCCATTTCCAGAGTCAGACTCCCCAAGTCTCCATCTTTTCAGATCTGCTTCTGTTATTTAATGATATGCAGTTAGGTTCCTCCATATCCTTTCATAGCCCAAGAGCTCATTTCTAGTTTTTAAATTATAGTAAAACCATATAACATTACATTCATAGGCCATCATTTTAAACTGTACCATTTTTTTTGGCTTTTGTTTGTTTTTTGAGACAGGTTTTCTCTGTGTAACAGTCATGGCTGTCCTGGAGCTCACTTTGTAGACTAGGCTGCCCTCAAACTCACTAAGATCTGCCTGCTTCTGCCTCCCAAGTGCTGGGATTAAAGGCATGCACCACCATGCCCGGCTTAAACTGTACAGTTTAGTGGTGTTAAGTACATTTAAAGTGAGGTGTGAGAGGGCTCTAGAACTGTTTCATCTTGTGAGACTGAACTCTATACCTACCAAGCAATAACTTAACACTCTTCACTCCTGCTGCCCCAGGAGCCCTCCATTCTACTTTGTGTTCTGGTCACTGTGGTTGCTTTATGATATAGAACAGAATCACAAAGCATCTGCTCTTTGGAGAGCTTATTTTGTTCTTGAAGGGTTATCTGTGCTGTAGCATGTGACAGGAGTTCCTTCTTGTGCCATTGATAATAATGCCACAGACATTTGCACTACTGCTTCTTGACTGTTGTACCAAGCCTGGGTCCTGAAGTGGCACAGTCCTTAAACATCAGACTTTTCCTTTAGGCTTTCTAGTCTAAAAATAGACTTCCTGCCACTCTTTACAACCTCATCCTGCTCACTTTTACTTGTTAATGCTTGGCATCATATTGTACATTTGTATGGCTTTCTCTTGTTGTACCATGCTAATCACATGACAGCAGAAAGCCTGTTGTTTTCACTGTTGTATCAATGGAACTCAGATTAGTGCCAAGTACATAGTATGTACTTAACAAAAGTCTATTAAGGCCCTGAAGATGTGGCTTGTCTAACATGCACAAAGCCCTGCGTTTGATACCTACTGCTGCAGGAGTATATGAAAAAAAAAGAATAAAATAAATAAAATCATACAATGAAAATAAAAGTGTTGAAGAGGGGAATATCTTGGATAAAATGGAAATTTTAACCATTTTCTTTCTTTTTTAGTTTTTTAATTTTTATTTTTTAGAAACAGGGTACAGGGTCTTAGGCTAGCTGTGCACCTTTAATCCCAGCATGTTGGAGTCAGAGGCAAATGGATCTCTGTGAGTTCAAGGTCCACCTTGCTCTACAGAGCAAGTTCTAGAATAGCCAAAGATACACAGAGAAACACTTTCTCAAAAAAATAGAAAGAAAGAAAGAAAGAAAGAAAGAAAGAAAGAAAGAAAGAAAGAGGAAGGAAGGAGGGAAGGAAGAAAGAAAAAGGGAAAGAGAAACAAGATCTTTGTGTGTTGCCTAGGCTGGCCTGGAAATCTTGAACTCAAATGAGAACCCTGCTGGGACTACAGGTTCATGTCACCTGTCACCACCACACACAACTATTTTTGTTTTGAAGTTCTTATTCTTCTGACTTCTACTTCTCCCTTTGTATTTTCAGAATATGAGTGATGCTATGTCGATCTTGCACAAACTACAGACAGGCCTGGATGTGAATGTCAGGTTCACTGGGGTGCGAGTGTTCGAGTACACACCAGAGTGCATAGTCTTCGATCTTCTAGATATTCCTTTGTATCATGGTTGGTTAGTGGACCCTCAGGTAAGTAGAGTTTCAGCTATATAAATACAAGGGGCTTGAGAGATGGCTCAGTGGTTAAAAGCACTAGCTATTCTTGTAGACAGTTCACAATTGTCTACAAACTCCAGTTCCAGGGAGTCTAATGCTCTCTTTTGACACATGCAGACACCAGGCATGCCACTGGTACACAGACATACATGCAGGCAAAACACACATACACATAAAAATAACAGTCACATAAACACAAATGCAGGAAAGCTCATCTCAATTTATATTTTTTAAATCTGAATATGCTTGCTCTTTGACCTGTACTTAGCAAAACTGTGAGGGTACAGACACAGTCTTCCAGACCACTGAACTTGCTCAAGACTTCTGACCCTAACCACAGAGTCACATGAAGAATCCCTCACTTTTCACATCAATTGCAAGTTTAGAGGGTTTTCCAAAATATCCTAAGACTTAATGGTTTTCTAGAACCCTTGTGGTTTGAAAGAAAATGTCCCCCAAAAGGAGTGGCACTATTGGTGTAGTGTAGCTTTGTTGAAGTAGGTATGACCTTGTTGGAGGAAGTGTGTCACAGTGGAGGCAGGCTTTGGGGTCTTTTGCTTAAGCTTTGCTCAATGTCACAGTCGACTTCCTGTTGCCTGCAAGATGTAGGACTCTCAGCTACTTCTCCAGCATCATGTCTGCCTCCATGCTGCCATGCTCCCCGCCATGATGATAAAGGACTGAACCTCTCTGAAACTGTAAGCCACCACCTCAATTAAATTTTAAATTATAAATTTCCCTTTATAAGAATTGCTGTGTCTTTTCACAGCAATAGAAACCCTAACTAAGACAACTTTCTTGGGTATACCATTGCATACAAATAATTCAGCTTATTACTATAGTGGTACACACAAGAGAAATCAGATACAGGCTCATATTAACCAAGGGAAGATGCATAGGACAGAATCTAGGTAGGTTTTATCTAGGAAACTCCTGTCCTCTTTGCATGATGCCCTCCTGAAATTGGCCTATGACAACATCCATATAGTGTTGGCAATCCTAGAACTCAGCCTCCACAGTTCAGATTTCTTATGATTGATTGCCAGTGTAGTTGATCTCAGTCTCCAATCCTTCCTTTCCAGGAAGCTAAACTTGATGTCACATTGTTCAAGGGGGCCTCCATGAGTCACTGGGCTCCAGTGTGATCTGCAGGTGTGGCATGAAGGCTCTGCCATAAATATCACCATTGGTCTTGTTACTAGAGAAATCCCGAGAACTTAGAGGTTATCACTCCAGGAGTCGGGAAAGGCCAGGCCTCTCCTTGATCAAGAGCATAGCATTAAATAGAGATTTCTAATCACTCTGACAATTATTTTAAAAGCTACTCCCATATCCTCATCACTCTAATGTGTAGAAGGATTTTGCACATTGCTCTATATCCAGTGATTGCTGGTATTTAATTATCTACATTCTAGATTCACTCCAGTATAAGCAAAGTTTTAAGAAGAGCTTAGATAGAAAGATGTGGGCAAAGGTAAGGGAGGAGTGAAGCATCTTAGAGCTATCTGCAGCCAGGAACCATTGTCCTCTTAACTCTGAAGTGACAGTAGTTAAAACCCAGCAACACCACTTGCTGAAGCATGAGAGGACAGTCCAGTTACTTCCAAGTGTGGCTAGCAGCAGAGATAGACAGGAAGACCTAGTCTGCCTTCCACTCTCTAGTGTCCATCAGTACCATGCACTAATCAAGATGACTGAAAGTAAAGAAGCCACCTTTAGAAAAGAGTACAGAGGCGGTCTTGGGAGAACCAAAGGAAGAAACAGCTTCTGTCTTAACGTATAAAGTTGTTTTATTTGGTTGTTTGGGTTTTTTTGTTGTTGGTTTTGTTTTTTGTTTTTTTTCTGGAATAGAGTCTCAGTATATAAAGCAGGCTAACCTGGAATCCACAGAGCTTCTATCTTCCTGCCTTCCCAGTGCTAGGATTTCAGGCATATACCACTGTGTTTGACATTTTACATAAATGTTGAAGATTAAACTCAGGTCTTCATCCTGGCAGTACTTTACTGGCTGAGTCATCTAGCCCCATGCCTGGATTTTTAAAGTTTGTATCTTTAACCATTAATGATGTTGAACGTATTTTCCCATGCTTATTTGCTGTTAGTGTATCCTCTTCAATAAAATCTCTCCTTTTCTCCTTCCCTTTTCCCCCTCCAATTTTCTAGGTGTTTTTGGTTTTTTGAAATAGGATCTCTCTATATAACCAGAGGTAGCATAGAGTTTGTAATTTTCGGGGGCTGGAGAGATGGCTCAGAGGGTAAGAGCACTGGCTGCTCTTCCAGAGGTCCTGAGTTCAATCCCCAGCACCCACATGATGGCTCACAACCATCTATAATGAAATCTGGTGTCCTCTTCTGGCCTGCAGGTGTACATGCAGATAGAACACTATATACATAACAAATAAATAAATCTTAAATTTTCTTGCCTCTTAAGTGCCAGGTTGCTGGAGTATGCTACCACATCTGGCATCAAGGTTGTTTTATTTTATTTCATTTTAATTTTTATGTGTGTCTGTATATGTGCATATATGTACCACATGTGTGCAGGTACTTGCAGAGGTCAGAAGAGGGTATGGGCTCCCTGGAGCTTGAGTTACAGGTGATTCTTAACCATATGATATAGGTGCTGGGAATCAAATCAGGTCTTCTGGAAGAACGGTATGTATTCTTAACCACTGAGCCCTTGCTCCTGATGACGTTTTTTGTTGTTGTTGTTGTTTTTTTTTTAATTTAGTGAAACATAGTTTATTGATTTTTTTTTCTCTGTTAAGTCCAACAACTTTTTCTAGCTCTAAATCTTGACTGTTTTTCTGTTGTGCTTTTCTTTGCTAAATCTATTATGGTTTTATTTATTATGCTTAAGTCTATGACCCATTTTGAGTCAATTTTGTAAGATTTGAGTTGTTGGATATGAATATTCCCTTGCTCTGGCACATTTCATGGGTAGCTGTCACCTAAATCAATTTTTGAATAATTTTATCATTTTGAAAAGAAATTCAGCTAGTCAGTGGAAGCACACACCTTTAATCCTAGCACTTGAGAGGCAGAGGTAGGAGGATCTCTGGGTTTGAGGCCAGCCTGGTCTACAGAGCTAGTTCCATGACAGCCAAAACTACACAGAGAAACCCTGCCTTGAAAAACCAAGAAAAAGAGAGGGGGGAGGGAGAGAGGAATAGATAGAGATAGAGAGGGATGGAGGGAAGGAGGGAGGGAGAGAGAGAGAGAGAGAGAGAGAGAGAGAGAGAGAGAGAGAGAGAGAGAGAGAGAACAAAGAAATATTGTAAGGAAAAAGAAATGCTGCAAAATTGATAAAAGAAATTGATGGGCAGATGGCATTGGCATTCTGAGTTTGAGGACAACCTGAGATTTATACCACCACCCCCCAATCTCAAAAAAAGTAAAATAAAATAAATGTGAAAGTGTCACAGGTGGAGGAGGGGCTCAGTATGAAGGTCACAGGCGTGTACCACCACACTGTTTGAAAACATCTGTGTTGTATCTGAACACGGAATTTTTCTTTTCTTTTTTATTTATTTTTGTTTTATGTTTATGTCTGTTTTATCTGTTTTATCTATGTGTCTGTGTGTTGCATTTATGCAGTGTCTGTGGAGATCAAAAGAGGTTGTGGACACCTATATGGGCACAGAAAAAGGAACTCAGGACCTCTGCAAAAGCAGCCAGTGCTTTTAACTGCCGAGTCATCTCTCTGCCCACTCCTCCCAATACCTCATGTTTTGTAGACTGAATTTTCTTATTGTTCCTCCCAAATACCTCATGCATTGTAGTTACTTAGATGCATCTTTATAGTCTTCACATTTGCATATAATAACTATCATTTTTGCACAATTCAAATATAACTGAGCAGTAGTTTTCATAATGTGTTAGTTAGACTGAGTTGTAAACAGAAACTGCTGGGTTCTGGCTTCTGTCCTGATGTGCTCCTAAGCATTTCTGTTTAGTGTTGTAGGCACAGGCCTACAGAGTAATGGGATTGTTTTTGTTGCTGCTCCTAATCTTGCCAGGGATAGTAAGACAGTCATTTGTTTTCCAGATTGATGACATTGTAAAAGCTGTTGGCAACTGCAGCTACAACCAACTGGTGGAGAAGATCATCTCCTGTAAGCAGTCAGATAACAGTCAGTTGGTTAGTGAAGGTGGGTGAGTGCTGCTCATACCTAGTAAAATAACTTGTCGTGAAATTCATTGAGTTTGCATTTATCTTTTATAAGTATACAAAATAATGGTTTCTTTATAACATTTTCATAGTTATAAATTTCTTAGATAGGACTTCTTGTAAGAATTAAGAGAAGCATTCGTAGATGTGCAGGAAAGGATTCTTCCAGATCCCTCTTCAGCTGGCTGTAAAATCAGGGCAGGGTGCTAATAGAAGACTTTGGATCACTTGCAGGTTTGGTGTGATCAGATGTCTATTGATTATTACTTGGGCTTATTGAATGGATTGCTTTACTGACCCTGGCCCCTTTATCTGAAGAGGGTGAATGTATTTTCCACCGTGTCTCAGTGCAGTTCAGTATGAAAGCCTCATTTTGGAACATGAGTAACTGACTGAAATTACTAAATTCACTGTCACAGAGACAGGTCATTATTTTTTCCAGAGTTTTCCCCCTTTGGAGTCCCTCTTACTCTGAAGAGTTCTTTGTCATTTTTCCTCAATAAATCTACATTTACTCTGCTTTTGAAAATATAACATTTTTCAGATGTGCTCCAGAAAATAGTGAGTTAAGAGATTTGAAACCAGAATGCTCTCAGGCTGGAAGCTATTTGGATAAACTTTCACCACCTTTCACTCCATAGTTTGATACAAGAACATACTGAGGCTGAGGTTCTCCTTCCTTACAATAGAAAAAAGTGAAAGAAAGAGATAGAGAGAATAGAAAGAGAGAGAGAGAGAGAGAGAGAGAGAGAGAGAGAGAGAGAGGAGAAAAAATCAAAAGAAGCAGGGGCAGAGGATGAGTTCCCCACTCTCACTCATAAACAGGCTAGAGGATGAGCAAGGTGGCATATGCCTTTAATACCAGAACTCAGGAGGCAGAGGCAGGAGGATCTCTGTGAGTTTGAAGTCAGCCAGGACTACATAGACAAACAAAATAATGGGCTAATCTAGGTAGATGACACAATTGGTAAAATTCCTATTGGGTAAGACTTGTGTTGGATTTCCTACATCCCACCTAAAAACCAAGCACTTTGGAGACAGGAGAAACCTGGGGACCAGCTGGTCAGCCAGTCTAGCTAAATTGCTGAGGACCCTGTCTCAGACACAAGTAGATAGCAACTGAGAAGGACTTCCAACACCAACCTCTGGCCCTCAACATGAACACCACACATACCAAAGAACAGAAGACTATGTAAGAGCATATAAGAAGATGGGTACATGAATCTCATATTAACTAATCCTAATACTTGTATTAATTATACAGGAACTTAACATATTTATGCAAAAAGGCAAGTAATAAAAAAGTGTATCCCTGTCTTTTACCTGAAAAGATAACATAAACATATAAAAGCATTCATCATTGATTTGAGTGACATCTGTTTTATTACAACTTAAGGCAAAAATGTTTAAATTTAAGAAGGAAACAAGCAGTAAAACTATCATTAAAAAAATGTTTTCTGCCAGGTGTAGTGTCTCGTGCCTCCTTTAATCTCAGTGCTCTAGAGTCTGAGATAGGAGGACTGCCATGAGTTTGAGTCCAGCCTGAGCAGTGTAGCTACATAGTGACTCCTGGGCCAATATGAGCCAAAGTGTGACATCATCTCAAAACAAACAAGAAAATCTTTTTTCTCTCCATATGCAGAATTCTACTCACCAAATGTACTCCTTTCTTTATACATTCCTGGTGTCAGATATATTCCTGAAAAAAAATCTATAAAGGAAATTCTACCCATGAAATCTACTTTATCAACAACACCCAATATACTAATAGAATTATACTATTCTAGGGTTGGTGAGATGGCTTAGAGGTAAAGGCACTTCCCACAACAAACCTGGTGATCAGGGTTTGATCCCCAGAACCCGTGGCAGAAGCAGAGAACCAATTCCTGAAAGTTGGCCTCTAGCTTCCATATGCATGTAGTAATATGCATGCACAACACACACACACACACACACACACACACACACACACACTATATATATATATAGAGAGAGAGAGAGAGAGATACATATATATGATAACAATAATTTTTAAAAATATAATTCTACTATTCTATGGCAATTAAATAACAGTAAGATTCAGAAAATGGTAAGAAGCAGAATGATATCATGAAAAGGAGTTTGGGTAAGCATGCTATAAGTGAGAAGTCACTGGAAACAGCATGACGGCATCCTTCCCTGTCCAGGCTGTGATTCTGTAAGGGTAGTAATTGGTAACACACTAATTAAATACAATGAACATGTGAAAGTCAATTCCTCCATCACTTCCCCTCCCCCAACCTGACAGTTTAAGTCATTGCTTTTCTGACAGTTTAAGTCATTGCTTCTCTGACACTGACTCCCAGGGTAATGGATAGGGGTAGGTTTATAGTATGGATAATTGAGAAGAGTATCTTGGCAAAAACAAGAAGGAATCACCTGCTCTGCAGTGCATAGAATTTTTGGGTGCATATACCATGCGCGTTTATTATGAAGTCCTTGACAGGCTAATTTGACAGCAGTGAAACTCTAAGAAGTAATCATATGTGAAGTTTATCACAGTTAGTTGGCTAGACTAGTTTTTGGATGATAAGAAATAACAATATGTAGTGTGTTTAAAATTAAGCCAGTCATGCCTTGTGTAAGGTCCCAAAGCTCACATAAATAAGGAAGAGCCACACTGAGTGTTTTCACTCACATTCAAGCAACTTCTTCCCACATGGCTTCTGAACATACACCTTGATTCATGTTCAAGAAAGAGTCTGGTTCCTTTTTTGTGTGTAGCCTTCAACTGTATTTCCCCTTTGAATCAATAAAATATCCAAACTGGTTTATTTCTAGTCTTAGAAGCTTTAGTCTTAAATGACATCTACTTTTTTTTTATTCCAAACATTCCATATGCCATGAATTCTCAGAATTTAAGAAATACTTTTACTAGCATTCTTTTTGGTGGGGTGAATGTTATATAACTGGTGTTGGCAGAAGCAGTGTTTCGATGCTAACACCTTGAGAGCATAACACAGCATTGTTAACAGTAAACAGAGCATTTCTTGTCTGATTCCTCTTTTGAATGGCCATACCTTCTTGAATCTGATTGTTATAATGGTCGCTTGTGACATGAAAATAAGAATCAATAAGAAAACTCTCACAGCACCAGCTGCCAGAATCGCCCAAAGCCAGTCATTTCATTTCATAACCTTTTAGAAGTAACTTCTTAACAGTTATTCCTAGGATAAACACATACTAATGAAACTAACTCCAGGATATTTACTCACTTACTCAAACTATTTTTTGCCCAATTGCATTTATATTATCCTTATTTAGTGACAATAATTATTAATTTATTAAGTAATATCCATCATTTTTCTTTGCCCAACTTTTATTTTGAGAAGTCAAAACCATAAAAAGAGTTTCTTGGTAAACCTTCACATGCTGTTAATTCACCAGCTGTTCACACATTGAATACCTGCTTTTTTTCTGTGTTCCTGCACAACACATTTTTTTCTTCCTAAATCATATTACAGCTAGTTGCAAGTGTCACATCACTTCACTCTTAAGTGTATCATCATTGACTCTTGAAAAGAAAGAATTCTGTGTAACTTCCCCATTATGATCACAATGACCTCGGGCAAGTCAGTGTTATGGCTGTGTTACTTTGTATGTTGTCCATGCACTCCTTTTCCTGGTTTTCTTAACCATGCCCTCTAACTTTCCATCTCTTTCAATGTACACTACAGCCAAAGATCAGTTAGCAGTTGTAACAGCTTCAATCTGTTGTTTAGAATAGATCCCTGTTTTCCTTTTCCTTTCTTTTCTTTCCTACTTTATTTTAAACCTTTGTTTTATCCCTTGCAAATTTCATACAATATATTTTTATCATATTCTTTCCTGATCCCCAGTTCCTTCCAGATCCTTTCCTCTACCAATCCACCCAACTTCATGTTCTTTCTCTCTGTCTCAAAACAAACAAACAAACAAACAAACAAAAAACCCAGGGGTTAAAGAGATTGCTCAGTGGTTAAGAGCACTGGCTGGTCTTGCAGAGGTTCTGAGTTCAATTCGGAGAAATCCACGTGGTGGCTCACAACCATCTATAGTGGGATCTGATGCCCCCTTCTGGCATAAAGTCATACATGCAGATCTCATATACATAAAATACATATACATAAAATAAATAAGTAAATCTTTTTATAAAAAGCCACCAAAAGAAACATGTAATTTGATATGTGTTGGTCAACCACTCCTGAGCATGGGGCCTGCCCTGGAGTGAAGAAAACTGATTTTCCCCTCTCCCTGAGAAATCTAGCTGGAACTCAAGCTTCCCATCTACTGGTTAGCATTCATAGTGGTAGAAGGTTCTATATACACTACTGGAGAAGTAATTATCAGTCTCACCCAGCTACAAACCCTGAGAGCTGTAAGAACAAACTGCCTGCAAGATATGCCCACTGGTACAAATGTAAATGGTATAGGAGTAACTAATCACTTTTTGATGGGATATAAGCCCCACTCCATGAGATGGAACCCATACCTGATACTGTTAATGAGGCCAAGGACCTGACATTAGATAGGTCATAGGCCCAGGGGAAAACCTACTAAATGAGCACAAAAATAAAACAACTCCTAATAACACATTGCTCTACCCTCAGATCAATGCCTTGCTCAACCTACATCAGAGAAGCTTCTTATATCATATGGTAATTAACACAAAGATCCACAATTGGGCAACATGCAGAAAGAGAGAGAGAGACTTTGGAGTGTTCAGCCCTGAAAGAGTATCTCATCATAGCCCCTCTCTGTCAAAGTTCAGGGATCTATGTGGGAGAGGGAAGTGGAAGAGCCAGAGGTGGTGGACGAAATTAAGAAACAACAGAGCAGATGCACTTATGAACTCATAGAGACTATGACAGTGTGCATAAGGCAGACACAAACGAAAGCCAGACAACCCCCACCCCCATACAAAGGAAGGAACATTGATACAAAGTTCTATGGCTAGCCAAGAAGGTATTCTTTTGTTTTGTTTTTGTTTTTCAAGACAAGGTTTCACTGTTGAGCTCTGGCTGTCCCGGAACTCACTTTGTAGACCATGTTGGCCTCAAACTCACAGAGATCCGACTGCCTTTGCCTCCCAAGTGCTAGAATTAAAGGTATGCACCACTACCACCAGGCAAAGCTATTCTTTTAAACTTTTTAAAACTTTTTTATTTTTATTTAGTGTGTGTGTGTGTGTGTGTGTGTGTGTGTGTGTGTGTGTGTGTGTGTGTGTGTACCACATTATGAGGGTGACCACTGAGGCCAGAAAGGAGCTTTAGATCGCCTGGAGTTAGAGTTAGAGGTATTTGTGAGCAATCAGATTGTGGGTGCTAGAAACCAAACTTGGGTCCTTTACAAGATCAGTATGTGCTTTTAACCACTAGGCCATATCTCCAGTCCTCCCCCCTTAAAACTTTCATGCATTTATGGCATTGTTCTCTTCCCCCCTTTCCTACCCTCTCTTTTTACTCAGCCCTCATCTACCCCCACTCTTATCTACTAACATTTTTGAATAGTGAAGGCCAGAATTTTGTAGCCTAGCCCCAATTTTGATTTATCTATTGTTCTTTTATGAGTAGATACAGGTGATATAATTTTAATTGGGATGCCACACAGATGACATCCTCTATAGTAGTCTTAATACATCAAATTGGGTGCATGAGTCAGATTATCCATTGTTAGTTATATTTAAACTTGAATGAGGTGGGATAGGCCAAATATCTTTATTGTAAAATCACCCTTTTTACTTTATAATTAATAAGTAATAATGTATAATTAATAATCTGTCATTAGGTTTTGAAACTGTGTGGATAGCCTTTTCTCTAAGAATAGCCAAATCTATACACAATAGATTTGGAACCATTGTTTTTTTTCTTCTTCTTCTTCTTCTTTTAATTTATTTTTTGAGACAGGGTTTCTCTGTAGCTTTGGAGACTGTTCTGGAACTTGTTGTGTAGAGCAGGCTGGGCTCAAACTCACAGAGATCTGCCTGTCTCTGCCTCCCAGGTGCTAGTATTAAAGGTGTGCACCACCACCATCCTGCTTGGAACTATTGACTTTTAACTGAATAAATTATGGTTGTGGTGGTTATTGTGTTTTTATTATTCCTCTTATACTTATTAGCTGTTACTCTTCTGTAAAAATGTATTTAATTAGTTATTCAAAGTTGAACCTAGAGTAGCCTTACCTGTATTGGATTAAAATTACCATTTAAGAGACAACAAAAGAATTAGGAAACGTCATAGTTTTGAATTCTTGATAAGTTTATGCTTTATGACTCGGGATAATATGTAATTCAGGTGAATTCATAATCATCTCTGCACTAAATTGGTAATATTTAATATCAATAGTAATTCCTCTGGTCCCAGTCTTTACTTTGCCATAACGAGTTTGGGCAAATCATCTATTTTTTATGAGCCTATTTCCTATTCTATAGATAGAGGACTGAAAAAGATGTGTCTAGTGTTCATTTTTTAATTCCACAACATAATGGTAGTGTGCTCTGTCTCCAGTGAATTTTTTTCTATTTTTTCAAGGAAGCATTTATGGGCATGGATACTGCAACCAGGAGTACTTTTGAGCAAATGGTGCATCCTTTAACATGGTACATAATAGTAAAAGCTTGAATACATTCTGCTGAACAAGGTGATAACAATATCATGAGGAGGAACTCTTACTTCCCAATCTATAAACACAAGTGTGTGCTGTAAACCTCAAACTCTCCTCTCCCTAACCAAGTCCTTGTTGTGCTGCATTGTAACTTTCTACAGCTCCTTTGAACCTCCAAGTGCCCTGGCCTGACAAAAAGTAATGGACAAGGAGTGTCCTAATCTGCTTTGCTCAGCTACACTGGGCTTGCCAAGATTCCCACCCAATTATTTTCAGCTTCTTATTGAAGTAGCTCTTAAGACAAACTCAACTCGACTCTCTGCACATCTTGATGGGCTCTCTGTGTCTCTCTGTCTCTGTGTCTCTCTCTTTCTCTGGATTTTTGAAATGAGTCTCACTGTATAGCCCTGGAGGGTTGGCCTTGAACTCACAGAAATTGAAGGCATATACCACCTAGCCTTAGCTCTCACATAAAATGTTGTAGAGTAACTTTCCTGTTGTTGTTTATTGTGTCTGTGTCTCTTATAAACCACATGAAAGAATTTTCGTAAGTTAGGAGACTACCTGTGGATGAAAGTGGTTTCATATCACTGTTTCTTCAGGACCGAAATGACCAGGGATACTGCTCCAATAAGAAAATTAGAAAATGCATCTCCAATATGGGGACCATCATGTAACAGAATAAGTCTTATATTATTTGGCCTTTGTATACAATTGCAACAAATGTAAATAGGAAAAATGACTATCTGACTTTGAAATGATTCTTCCTTCTCATAGTACACATTGGTTCCATAGGCTTTGTAGCTGAGCAGTTTCTAAACAATACAGCCACTCAACTGACATACCATGGATTGTGTGAACTGACTTCAACGGTTCAGGAAGGAGAACTCTGTGTGTTCTTTCGGAATAACCATTTTAGCACCATGACAAAACACAAGGTAGGATATAGAAACGGATATTTTTCCTCTCAAAGAAGCTTGATTTGGAGATGTGTTTTGATCTGCTACAGAATAAGATTGAGCATAATATTCCTTAGCCATCAAGTTTTAAATGTAATTATTATTAAATACTGGGTTAGAATGGAATGGATTAACAATTGAAATGTTACCTGATCAGCTTTATTTTAAATGAAGTCTCAGTTTCTCTATCACAGATGATTGCATTCAAGTGTTTACTTTTCTACTTTCTTGGAGAGAGAATTTCACTGGGTAACTCAGACTGGCCTTGAATTTGAGATCTTCCTGCCTCAGCCTTTGGAACACTGGAATTACATGTGTTATCATGCCTAGCTAGGTTATATCTTACTTACAGGAAACAAAATACCTAGAGCTAGAGCCAGGGTGACTATAAATGAAGGATGTTTATATTTAACATTAAAAGATATTAGAATCAAGATTTGCCCTAAACTGGAATATGTTGGTGCTTGCCTGTGATGGAGCTACTGAAGAGTCTGAGCAGGAGTTCAAGTTCAAGTCTAGCCTGAGCTACACAAGAAGACCCCCACCCCCCAGATACACACAGATTATCTTTATGAAAGTGTTGGCTTTTATGGACATTATCAGTGTGTTTATGGTTTTACATGCACACACACACACACACACACACTTACAAATCCATCTCTTTTATTCATTTCTTACATCTGTCTCTTGATTTTACAGGTAACATATAGTATAGGAACTTATCGTCAACATAGACCCCCTGTGGCAGAATACTGTTCATACCATGTTGATAATACAGCACAGATGTTCAGTTAGCACCTATGCCTAGAGGATAAAATGCAGGTCCCCTCTGCCACAGCTCCCATCCTATATGAATTTAATGTGATCTCATTTACTGCTATTCTTATTTCTTCATACTGTTTGGGAAGCTTTCCTCACTTCTGTTTGCCTATCCCAGAATTACCCACCCTTAAAGAAGCATTTCAAATACTAACTTACTGAAAAGCACCCCTTTTCTACTTTAAACCAGTGGTTCTCAGCCCTGATTGTACCCTAGACCTAGCTGGATGGCTTTAAAAAAAAATACTGGTGCCCAGAACTTACCACCAATGCAATTAAATCTGAATCTCTAAAATAGGTGGGACATGAACACCAGGTTTTTTGTTATTTGTTTTGTTTGTGTTTTGCAATCCAGAGGATTAGACCCAGTGCTTTACACATGCTAAGCAAGCCCTCAACCATTATGCTACACTGTCTGTCCTGCACCAGTAGCTTCAAATGCTTCCCAGGTGATTTTAATGTGAACTAAGACTAAGGACCACTGCTGTAACCATCCTCCACCTGCTAGTGGCCACATTGTCCTAATTGAGCTTTTACTGTTTTGTTTCTTGTTACCTCCCATGTGAATGTTTATTTTCTAAATGAAGGTAGCTTATTGAAGTCATAAATCACATCTTCATGTTTCAATCAATGGATGACATGGGGTAGTATAAAATGATTTGTTTGCCAATGAAAGAATACCTCAAAGCCATAGTTCTTCTATTACTGTCATACTTTAAGAGTATGTTTTATTGCTTCAGCTTCATAGTTTGGAGAGTGCAAGACATAAGATGAGAGTTATTCACATTTCTCAAGAATCTAAAGCCAAAGGATGTCAGATCTGAATGGCTGCTCCATCATCTTGCTTTACTTGTTCTCTTCAGACCTTGGATCAACTGATTCATTAACAAAGCTAAGCTAACCCTGACAACTACAGCCATAGATACAACAACCATGGTTCCTGCCGTTTAAGGACTTTTGTTTGATACTGAGATGCTTCTGTCAAGGACACATACCACAGAACTCTGAGAGCTCTTGTCAGATTTTATCTGGAAAGATGTCCCTGAGAAGGTCACATGCACACAAGCCTAAGGACTTGGGGTGTACATCTCAGTGGTAGAGCACTTGCCCAGCATGCACAAGACCCTCATCACTGAAAAAAATCAAAAAAACTTCTGAACTCTATGAATGAATCATCTGACTTTAATCAATTAACAACAAAAAGAAATAACTAAGCAGAAATAATTAGCAGCCAGCACGTGTGCAAAGGCCCTGAGGTAGTCATATCAAAAGAGAGTTGTGAAATGGAAGCTTAGAAGTAAGGTTTTTTTCTGGCTTTTGTTTGTTTTTATTTTTGGAGACAGGGTTTCTCTGTGTAGTCCTGGCTGTCCTGGAACTCACTCTGTGCACCACACTGACCTCAAACTCAAGAGATCCACCCGTCTGCCTCCAGAGTGCTGAGATTAAATGTGTGCGCCACCACCACCTGACTGAACCTTATTTTTTTAATGCCTCTGGTGTTTCTTTTCTTCTTTTGTCCCAAGAGTGAGTAGGAATAAAATAGTCCTTTGGGAAAACAAGGTCTCTGTCATTGGTGGCTGAGAACCTTCTCTCCCGAACTCTCTCCCCCTTCCCTTCCCACCCCTCACCTCATACATGCTAGGTAAGCACTGTACCATAGAGCTACATCACTTCTATTAAAGCCTTATCCCCTGCCAGAAAGCCTTTACTGGTCAGCTAGGTATCCCCAATTTTGTGTGGTTGAAGAGGATATGCCTGTGTCTAGACCAAGCAGGCCTATCTATAAGGCCTTGAGAGCTCAGAAAACATTTCTGCCTTTTTTTCTGCTTCTAGGATTCCCCATTTTCTGTAGTTTAATAATGTTGCACAGGTGTCATGTGCTCTCATGCTGTGTGACTTTAATTGCTTTAGGCTTTCAGAGCAGATGTGGAATTTAGTTAGAAGACACCCACTGCAAGAGATAAAGGAAGGAGATTCTAGTAATTTGGACAAGAGATCCAATGCAATGTGGAAAGATTCCAGAGTGAATCAGGAGATAGATCAGCCAGATGTCTCCATTGGATTTGAAAAATAAGTGATTTGTGGGTCCTCTGTGAACGGTGATGTTCCTTACTGAGCCATACATGACTGGCCATGCATGAGGGCCCAAACCTTTAATCTTAGCACTTGGGACGCTGAAATAGGTGAACCTCTGTGAGTTCAAGACCAGCCAGAGTTACAGGACTGTCTCAAACAAAAGAAACAGATATAAGGAAAAAAAAGATATAATGTTAAAGGTCTAGGATGTAAAAGGCACTTCTGAGGTGACCTTCAAAGTGGAAATACTTAGTAAATGCTGATTTGGACATATAGAAAGAATTTTAGGATTTACAACAAAATACAGTAAGTAATTTCAGGGGGTGGTTAGAAGAAAAGGATAAAGACAACTGAGAAAGAAGGGGGCAAGAGGGAAGTTAGAGTGTGTCATCTAGGAAGCCAGGAGAGAAGAGAGATCTCTGAGGGTAGACATGGGAGGAGGGGGACAGGAGTGGCAGCAAAAGAATTTTAGTTACTTAAAGTGGCTGGAATGCAGAAGGCAGTAGCCAGCAACTCCTAGAAATGGTTTGCTGAGGGCTGGAGAGGTGCTTCAGTTAAGAGAACTGCATTTGATTACTGGGACCCCTTACCTCCACAAGTGTTTGTGCCTGAGTGTTCACACAAACTTTGTATACTCCCCAATAATAATGAAAACCAAACAAAACAACCCAAGAGCCAGATGCAGGTGCAGTGGTATGTAACTGTGGTTTGAACCCAGGTCATGTGATTCCTACACACACACACACACACACACACACACACACACACACACACAGACAGACAGGCTGGAGTGGTTAAGAAATAAACATTAAGAGAAACTTGTTCATAAATATATGCCAAAGAAGGAGATGTTGAGCCTGGTGGTGGCTCTTGGGAGGCAGAGGCAGGTGGATCTCTGTGAGTTCCAGGCCAGCCTGGTCTCCAGAGCGAGTGCCAAGACAGGCTCCAAAGCTGCACAGAGAAACCCTTTCCTGAAATAACAACAAAAGGAGATGCTGGACATAAGGGTGATGACTCTTCCCTGTAGGGTGTTTAGGTGTATAGATATGGAACCCAAGGTTGGTGTTTTCCACGTTTTTGTTTGTTATGTTTTGTTTCATGAGGCAGTCTTACTGTGTAACTTTGGCTGGCTTGGAACTCACTGTATAGACCAGGCTGGCCTGGAATTCACTATGTAGATCAGGCTGGCCTTGAACACATAGAGTTTACCTGTCTCCTAAATTCTAGGATAAAAAGTATTCTGTCATCATACTCAGCCTCAGACTTTCTACATTGCTAGCTCACCTCAAAATCCAGTACCCAAATGATGCTCCTGCCTCAGGTTCCCTTGCACTAGGACCACAGTTACATACCACTGCACCTACATCTGGCTCTTGGGTTGTTTTGTTTGTTTTTCATTATTATTGGGGAGTATACAAAGTTTGTGTGAACACTCAGGCACAAACACTTGTGTGCCATGGTGCACTTGTGGAGGTAGTAAAATGCAGGTTGTCTTTTACCCCTGAAACCATTTCACCACCACCCCCATTTTTAATGTGAGAAATTTGATTGTTTTTAAAACATTGACAGATTCATTAGAGAGAAAAAAGTGAAGATTCCAAAGATGTTAGACGCATAAGAAGGTAAAATGAAGCATAGGTATCTCCCACAGGTGAAGAAGATCAACATGTGACTTTATTTTACTGTTTGTTTTGAAACAGGGTCTCACTATGTAGCTCTGGCTGTCTTCAAACCCACTATGTAGACCAGACTGGCCTCCAACTCACAGAGATTCATCTCTCTCTGCCTCCTGAATGCTGGGATTAAAGGCAAGCGCTACCACTGCTGACCAACCTGTGATTTTTAAAAGGGCTCTATCTGTGCATTATAATGAAGGAAAGAATAGGCATGAGGTTTGCTTTTGCTTGCCTTTTTCCTGTTAGAGATTAGAAGTGAAAAGTAGTGTTCTGAGTGATTCTAAAGCTGGTAAGAAACAAATATGTGGTTTGAGGTGTAACAGAGTGGTAAAGAAACTTGCTTAACAAGTTCTACCAGGCCCAGGATTCACTCACCAGCACTGCTAAATGAATAAATACAATACTTTCTACACTTTGAGTGGTAGCTTCTTCCCCTCAGAATGCCACATTTAAGTGCAAATCCATTTAGTTGTTTTAAGGTGGCTGATAAATGAGGAATTTATTCTAAAGGTCAGAAAGGGGAAGAAATGTGGGACAAGGAGTAGGGGAGTGACTCCAAAGGCAGAAGTTTGTCCTCTTAAGTGGGCAGAGGGGACTCTGTTGTTGATTAGACAGTTGCAGGGTTGAGGACCTGTGGTGGGGCACTTAAAACACTAATGGGGTGGAGAAATGTCTCAGTTTAAGAACATGCACTGCTATCGCAGAGTTCATCAGGCCTCAGCACCCACTCAGGTGGCTCACAGCCTGCAACTCTTGCTTCAGAGTATATGACACACTGCTGGCCCCATGGGGCACTGCACTTGTGCACTAGCCCACACACAGACACATGGTTTGGGGCTTTTTTTGTTGTTTAAAGGAGCAAAATGGTACAGAGAAAGGGAAAGGCTGGTTTGGGTCACATTATTTCTATCAGCGTAATTTTTTTAAGTAAATAAAACCAGACAATGTTGGGGTTTTTTGTTGTTGTTGTTTTTGTTTTTGGTGTGTGTGTGTGTGTGTGTGTGTGTGTGTGTGTGTGTGTGTGTGTGTGTGTGTGTTGCATATGCTTTCTGGTTGTATCTTTCTTTTTGGTGAAATGAGATTATAAACCCCAGAGCTGTTTGTTCGTTAGCATGCCAGAAGCTCATTATCTCCTGTTCCACTGTGCTGTGCTGACTACAGCTCTAGGCAAAACCAGTGAATTTGAGCAGAGAAGCTGGTCTTTTTATTGGGTTGTACAGATCCAGTGAGAATAATTACTATACTTCAAACATACGGCTTTAAAATGTTCCTTAAATATAATGTTGACTAGTTTGGGAGAATTTAACACTCCTTTTTCATTTGTTATTTCTTACTAAGGGTCAACTGTATTTGTTGGTAACAGACCAGGGGTTTCTTACTGAAGAAAAGGTTGTCTGGGAAAGCCTGCACAATGTAGATGGTGATGGAAATTTTTGTGACTCAGAATTCCATCTTCGACCTCCTTCAGATCCTGAGACTGTGTACAAAGGTCAACAAGACCAAATAGATCAGGTAAAAATATTTTTCCCTACCCCACCCACCCCCATCACATTGTCTAAAGTGCATATTCTCTCTCCTTTTTCTGAGATAGGGTCTCACTATACAGCCTTGATTTGTCTGGAACTCCCTATGTAGACCAGGCACCCTTGAACTCAGAGATCTGCCTTCCTCTGCTTCCCAAATGCTGGAACTAAAGATTTGTGCCACCATGGCTGGCTAAAGTGCATAGTCCTAATTGAGGCATGGTAATGTGTACAGCTGCTTAGGAGGCTGGGGGATGTCACTGAACTCACAAGTTGGAACCAGCCTGGGCAACATAGCAAGATCCAGTGTCAACAAGGAAAAAAGCAAATTCTTTTCAAGAGTCAGTTTATTTATCTAAAACTTTTGATTCATCCATTAATTTTATTTATTTATTTATTTGCTGGTTTTTCGAGACAGGGTTTCTCTGTGTAGCCGTAACTGTCCTGGAACTCACTATGTAGACCAGATTGCATTCAAACTCACAGAGATCCAACTGCCTCTGCCTCTGAGTGCTGGGATTAAAGATGTGCACCACCAAGCTATTCATCCATTAATTTATCTGTGAGTTCTCCTCATATTTCCTAAATAGGAAAGTGATCATCCTATATATTCTATATGATCATCAGTTATACACTATGATTCAGAAGGTGGATTGTGTTGAACTGTGAGGGTCATAGTGAGGACTTTGAATTTCATTCTAATTACAATAGAACAATTATGTTGAGTGTTAAATGTGGAAACTATATGAACTATGTTATGTTTTTAAAAGACTGCTGTGTGGAAAATGTATAGGAAAGAAATAGGCATAAGCAGAAACTAGTAATTCATTTTATTGATTTATTTAGTTTGTATGTGGGTGAGTATGTATACTACAGTGTACCTGGAAGTCAGGGGACAATGTGCAGATCTGTCCGGTTTCTCTGTGTAGTACTGGCTGGCCTGGAACTTGATCTGTAAACCAGGCTGACAGAGATCCACCTGCCTGAGACTCCAAGTTCCAGAATTAAAGGTGTGCACCACCACCACCCAGAGTGGGGAAGAAAGGGGGAGAGAGAATAAGTAAATAAATAAATGAAAAAAAATAAGTATAATTTTTTACCAAAATGAACTCTTTTTCATAGGAAATAATCTAGGTATGTAGCTAGGTGAAGATGTAATAACCTAGTAATTGAGTGTGACTATAGCTACATTGGCCTTTTTTGTTTTTTCCAGACAGGGTTTCTCTGTAGCTTTGGAGGCTGTCCTGGAACTCACTCTGTAGACCAGGTTGGCCTTGAACTCAAAGAGATCCACCTGCCTCTGCCTCCCGAGTGCTGGGATTAAAGGCGTGTGCCACCACTGCCCCACCATTACATTGGCTTTAAAAATCATCTTTTGGGATTGGGGAAATAGCTCAGTTTGTAAAGTGTGCCTGCTGCCCACACTGAGGACCTGAGTTGAGTCCTCAGCTCCCATGTAAAAATCTGGGAATGGCCAAATGCCCTTGTAATCTCAGTGCTGGGGAGGCTGAGACAAGATGATCCATGAAAACCTGAGTTCAAATTCCTAACATCCATGTAAAAAGTCAGGCATGGCAATTGGCATCACTGTAACCCCAGTGTTAGGAATGCAGACAGGTGTCTCCTTCGAGTTGATTGACTACCTAGCTTAGCTTAGTCCAAAAGATGAATTTATAATTCACTGAGACACCCCTCTTAAGACTGTAATACAGAGAGTAACACAAACTGTCTCAAGTCAGAAAGACCCAGTGTCCTGCTCTGACCACCAAAGGTGTGCACACATACACATGCCTGTACTACCCCTCCCCCCTTGCACACAAAGATCTGCAACTGAGACCAGCCCAAGACAAAACAATGTAGGGAAGGAGGGGAGAGAATTGAGTAAATAATCTTATGAAATTCTTAGACTATTTTAAAAAAAAAACAAATGCTGAATGGAAAATAAAAGCTTAAAATACTTTTAGAGGGTGGGAGATGTGTTTGAATTTCTATGTGAATGTAGAAAATACTAGATGGCTATAAATACTCAACAGTTGCATCTGTTACAGTAATTTCAGCCTTCATAGTTCTGGTCTTCTGTCTTGTGTGCATGTTCCATATGCACGTGTTTCGTTTGTAAACAAGGGGACCCTTTTTCAGTAGCTTTCTTGAATGTCTTATTTATTGCTTCTAGAGAAGAGTTCAAATTAATTCTAAGCTATGTAGAACAATGATGATAATGAAGTAAATCTGTAGCCCTGCAAAGAAGTGCTTAGAAACAGAGCTTGGAAACCTGTGTTGTAAAAGCCACTCAGAGCTCATTAATGGGTTTCTGTCTTCATACTGGCTGGTTCCTGGGTCAAATCTTAAAGCTGAAGTCGGTTGTGATTGAAATCCTCAGGACTACCTTATGGCACTGTCACTGCAACAAGAACAGCAGAGCCAAGAGATCAACTGGGAGCAAATCCCAGAAGGAATCAGTGACCTGGAGCTGGCAAAGAAACTCCAAGAGGAGGAGGACAGACGAGCCTCTCAGTACTATCAGGAGCAGGAGCAGGCGCAGGTGGCTGTGGCTGCTACCACCACTTCCACACAGATCCAGGTAAAACTGCAGCTCTGTGAATGTCAAACATGACAGTCACTTTAGCAGTAAAAGAATTTGTTTGGGAGAAGCAGTTGGAAGTCGGCTCTGGCTTTTCAGCTGTGTTAGCATGTCAGCCAGTGCCCAAGGGTTTGATTTTTTTGTTTTGTTTTGTTTTGCTTTTAGATTTATTTATATTTTATGTGTTTGAGTGTTTTGCTTGCATATATATCTGTGCACTGTGTGTGTGCATGGTGCCTTCAGAAGTCAGAAGAGGGCATCACATTCCCTGGAACCGGAATTACAGACAGTGGTGAGCCACCATGTGAATGCTTGGGATCAAACCCAGATCCTCTGCAAAAACAAGTGCACTGAACCATCCTCTAGCTCTTCCTGTGGAATTCTTTCACATTGTTCTAAGTTTTTTTTACTTTCCTAACATATTTCTGACTTCATGAAGACATTTTTTTCAGATGTTCTCATAAAATTATTTAACCTTTTTCTTCTAAGACTTTCACAGCTACAAACTATAAACTAACTTGAACAAAGTACTTACTTTGAGCTAGAGGCAGTCTGAGGTTTTGCTAGAAACAGTACAATTTTTGGAGCCATAGAGACATGGGCTTACAGTTCCTGCTGGTTCTTCCTTCCTATTGCAAACACCTGATTACAGTCTTCTGCCTCTGGAGGCCCCTTTCCATATTAGTAAAACAGAAGACTTCATCCTGAGGCTTCTTTAGAAACAACAGTGCTGCCGTTTAACTCAGTTTCCAACACATATTCAACACAGGTTAGCATTTCTCTCCTTGGCACCTTTGTTGATTTTTGTTTTAAGCAGCAAAATATGACTGTCACACAAGTTTCTGCATGCTAAATCTCACTTCATGAATTCAAAAGTATCTCTTTATTTTATGCTAACCTACACCATGCCAGAACCTTTCCTTTTGACTTGGGTATACAAGATACCAAGTACAGAAATCACCATTAAAGGGGCTGGGGCAATGGCTCATCAGGTAAGAGTGTTTGGTGTGCAAACATGAAGACCTGAGTTCACATCCACAGTACTCACATAAAAGGCCAGACCCAACCATACACCTATAACCCCAGAACTGTGGTGGGAAGATAGGATCTCAAGGGCTTGGTGGCCTTGAACCCAACTCCAGATTCTGAGAGAACATCTCTCAAAGAAATAAGGCTGAGAGTGCAAGAGGACACCACATATACTCCTCTGGTCTTGCACTCACACCACACACAAGTGTACAGGTGTACCCGCGCGCGCGCACACACACACACACACACACACACACATTCTCTCTCCCTCTCTTTCCATTAAAATACATGTCAAACTTCTGCCTCTAAATCAAGCACTAACTATCCAAGCTTAGCAGATGAGTCATACCATGTTAAAACCAGCTTTTCATTTCATTCAAGTTTTCTGATCTCATAGCACACATTTTTATTTAACACTTTCAGTTCTCAGGATTCTTATTTATTGTTTTTAAGATTTGTTTATTATGATATTTAATGAAATCCTGAAGAAATATTATTGCTTACCAAAATCGTCACTTTAACAGAAATAGTTCTTAAACTAGAAGCTTAAATAGTTATAGATAATTATGTATTTGGAATACTAAGTATATAATTAATTATACACTAGTTATTTGTCAGATATCCTGTATATTAAATCTCGCACACCTGACAGAAGCAACTTAGAGAAAAAGGTTTGTTGAGATTTACAGTGAAGGGTACGTTCTATCATAATGAGGAAGTGCTCAGTTGGTGGAGGTTGGTAGCACAGCATTTTCTGTCCTTTCCATTGGAAGCAACAGCAGAACCAGGCAGGAAGACATGCCCTGCTACTTCCCTTACACTCACCCTTATGTGGACCACTAGGCCCTATTCCCTAAGATACCCAAACTTCCCATAGCAACAGGCCTGCTGTGGACCAGGGACATCTCCCATCCAAAGCCTATCACCTGTAAACAGAAGCCAAGCCCCAAGTGTCAGTTTCTATAAGGATGCCTTTTGCTTTGTAGTTCTAGCTAGCTCTGATTCCCAGGAAATTTAGTCATCTCTTCCCATGTTTTTCTCATACAGCAGAGCCAGCCAGCACAACAAGCTTCTCCATCAAGTGTAAAACAGCCTGGAAATATTGAACGGAAACGCAAGGAACCTCGGGAAAAAGAGAAAGAGAAAGAAAAGGAAAAAAATAGCTGTGTGATTTTGTAGGAAATGCTGGCATCTGTGGGAACCACCTATGCAGATGACGATGACGGAAAGGAAGACCCAGTACCTACCGTCTGTGCCTGATCTCCCAATGGATTTTGCTCTTGTTTTCCAGGTTACTTTGTTACAATCAACTTTTTTAAGTTACACAATATACTCTTTATGAGCTGGAGTTTTATGTTACAAGTTGGAACTGTTGTGTGTTGTCACTTGTAGCCAAATAAGTATATCACTTCTATTTTGTGTTTAGTGACATGGCAACTCCAATCAGTAAGCTACTGTGTTGTCTGACAATGGATGGAGGTCACTGAGTGAGTCCGATCCTTCTCAAGATGTAATTATTAGCACAACTGTTTCTGAAACATTTATGTTAAATTATGTTCTAATACATAAAAAATGAGGAGTTTAATATAGGGAGTGAGAAAAAGCAGGAATAAATGACCCTTCATTGTACATTGAACTGGTTCAGCCCTTGGACAGCTTTACCTTTCTTTAGTAATGTACATTTTAGTTATTATCTTGAGAACTGATAATGGAGCTTGGATCCAATTTAGATAGAAAAACTATTTTTTATTTTCCAATAGCAAAAAAACAAAAAAATTACATGACACTAATACGTATAACCTATCCAAATCACATACTGACTTGTAGTGTTGTGAGATTCTGACGAATTTTAACACCTTTAGGTAACCTGAATGGTGTTTGTTTGTTAAGGATGTAATATGTGAGTGAGGAGGATACCACACTCATGTTCAGCCTTGTAAATATGATGGCAGAGAAGAGCAGAGTTCACTGTCTACCTTTTTCTAGAATTGCCTTGAACCTTAAATCATGTTTATTGCTAGAAAATTAAGCATAGTTATTTAAACCAATAAAAAGCACATTTCTGAAGGAGAGTTAATCTCTTGACTCTAGTGAAAATAATAAAATTCTGAGCATAGCAGGAATCTGAAGGAATTTATGTAAAAGCAATCAAATTTTTTAACTTATGAGAACCAAATAAACCTAAGACATCTTCTATCATTTATAGGCTTCTAAAAGAATATTTACTCAGCTTTGTGATGAGGCAGCACATATTGTATTTCTAGATCAAGTTTGGAAAACTATCCTTAACAGTCCTTTTTATATACTTTGTATTTAAAGTTTGTTTCAGTCATTTTTAAAGATTATTGCTGGTGCAGATAGCTGTGTGATTTGCCCTAAGCCTCAGTAAACTTGTTTATTCAGGAACATCACAAATTGAACGTCCAGTCAGAGAATATTTCTTGTGGTCTGGAGGCAATGAAAGACTACCAAAAACAAAACTAAACAAAAAGAAAACAAAAAAAGTAGTCCAGAGTTTCTTGAGACAATTGTCATTAACATTCTCCATGATCCCAACCAGCTGTAGGATGAATCTGTATGTAAAAAGTAGAGTTTTCTTTATGAAAAGTATTATTCTAAGGAAAAAATTCAGGGCTATGTGTCCTTCTATATTACATGTCTATTTATGTTCTTTGTTATTTCTTCAGATTTCCTATGCTACATGGGAACCAATCAGAGAACCTGCCAGTGTATAAAATTTGTGTATAAAATACTTGGTAAGTCTCTTGATTCCAACCTAGAGTGAGTGTGAATTGTCAGAGCTCAGACCCCTTTGGGTGGACTGGCCTCAGCATAAACACCCATGATAGATAGTACCCTGGTGATTAAAGGAGAAAGCTCAAACCTCAGGGTTTGCTTTTCCCAGAACAGTCTATTATTTTAATTTAGAAAATTACCTTGAGTAATTTTAAAAAAATTTATGAGGCATATTTTTCCATAGTTATATACAATATCTATTTATTGCCCTTGAAGAACCTATATATAAAAATTATGTTGTTTTTTACTATCTTAATTTGTTCCAAAGATAATACTGCCATACTGCATTCCCTCTAGAAGAAATAAAGAACAAAACAAAACAAACACAACTCACTCAAAACCAGCATCGCTGCTATCAGATAAGTCGATGTCAGTGTGCCCTTATGACAAGCAATGTGTTGTGTTTGTTAATCCAGTCTTGTCTTATGTCATATTTGCAAATTGGGCTTGGCTACATTCCTGGAATTGTTTGATATGACAACAGTCATAATAAGATATTTGTTTTGATTACTGTGTGGGAAATTAAATGTTTGACTCTATTAAAACAAATTTCTGAGATGCTTTCCAGTCCTCAAAGGCTGTCAAGGATCTAAACTGCTGTGTGCTTATTTCCTATGCTTTGCTCAAGGTAGCAAGTGATAGATATTAAGGCATATCGTTGCTTATTTGGGTACATAGGACTTTGAAAATGGTATTTTGAGGGATTTTTCCCCTCACAATACTTTGTAATACTTGAAATTGTTATATATCTTGCTAACAGACATTAGAATCTAAACATTTTGGAGCTTAATGTTTCTAGGCTAAATTCCAGGCACATTTGCTTCATGTACCATTCAGCATGAGAGCTGGCAGAAGGCAGGTGGAGAAGCAGATATGATCCCTGGCTTTTCTCTTGCTTTCAAAGTATAGTCTTAAGATTAGTGGTCAGTCTTTATTAATGTGTACTTCTTCATGAGTAACTCCATTGTATCAACAGTGCTATGACTTGTACTAGTTTATCAATACCTAGAAGCATGTGTGTTTGTGTTTCTGAAGCAGGTTTCCATGACTTCTGTTTGAGTCTCAAAACAAAGGTTCCTATCAAATTTAAAAGTTGTCATTTAAAAAAATACACACACACACACACACACACACACACACACACACACACACACCAGGTCTAGGAGTGTAACCCAGTGGTAGAGCATTTTCCTGGAATGCTCAAGACCCTGGTTCAATCCGTAGAACATGCATATATGTGTATAGACACACTGAGAAGTATGGTATAAAGCAGTTTATTATGGCATTGGCTTTATGCCCAACCAATGTTCATCAGCAGAGTAACTTCCTCCATGTTCTAAGGTAAGGCTAGGATTTGAGCAAGACAGAGGCTTAAGTTTGGGATTAGGGTTATATCTATCTTGTTTTTGTTACCTCACTTTTCTTTAGTTTGATAGTTTTTCTCATATTACGTTTTGAATGCTTCCTCATGCTCCTTGATCTTGGCTTACCTAAGCAAGTTAATATCAGATATAGGTTGACTAAACTCATGTTGGCCATTCTGTACTCACACAAAAGCTTCATAGCATTTTTTCTGTGAATCATAAACTCAGTGCAGACCTTGAGGACCGGAGGGCAGATGGGAGGAAAAGTTACGACTCATGATCATTGTCTGTGTTAGCATGTGAACAGATGGATGTCTGTAAAATCCTAGCAAATCAAGGCAAGAATTTCTAGAATTATCCTTAGTCATGCTTAAATTTTTAGTCATGGTCTTGCTATGTAGCCAACTGACCTGGAATCAACTGTTGGAACCCTGGCTACCTTCAAACTCAGAATCCTCCTGCCTCAGTTTCTCACTGCCATGATTACAGGAATATGACATCATACCCAGCTTGTTTAAACTGTTTTTCAAAAAGTAAACAGCAAACTGGTTGCATTTTGCTTTGCTTTCTTATCCATTGTATCAGTTATTTTTTTTAATGGCAGAAAGCTTACAGATTTGTGCTTACCACTGTCTTAGGCATATAATTTAAATTGAAAAATTAATGTTTGACAAAATAAGGCAAAGATATTAAAAATAGTGACTCACAGTTTAAGGAATTAGACGTGAAATTCTGAATCATTTGATGTTTGAAACCTCTGTCTGGGCGTGGTAATATACACCTGTCACCCCACCTTTGGGGAGGCTGAAGGAGGAGGATCCTGATTTCAGGGCCAGTCTGGGCAAGTAGTAAGACCCTATTCTCCAAATGCAAACCTGACTTTGTTTTGTTTTGGCAATCATTGTGCACGTCCGTTTACTCTATGTGGAGGGTGCTTCTCTTCCACCACTCCCCAATGCTTGGTTCTCCTGAGTAAATGCCACACTTTGAGCACCAAGACTTACTGAGATCATCACAGACACTGTACATCCTCTATTTTTGAATGTGCTGACTTTCATGACTTAAATCAGTGTTTTTTTTCATGCTGTTAGAATTTGTAGAATTATTTCGAATGTGGCATCATGGCTTTCAAAAATATATTTTGTGGTTGCTTTTGTATTCGGTAGACTAGTGTCAAGACTAGGAATATTTGGTGTATAAAATGCACTTTACAGACCTGTTCTCCAGATAGCTTTTAGAGATCTAAGCGTTTAAAGCCCCTTGGCCTTTCCCTCCAGAGGAAAGCAGCATCAGGAACTGACTGTTCTCTCTGCTGCTGTCAGTGTAGACTATTTGTTTGTGGTTTAGTGTGAAAATGGACTCTGATGGTGTGCAAGTCAGCTTTAGGCAGAGAGAAATCATAAAGGAATGTTTGAATCTTAAGAGTCTTTGGTTCTCTGATAATTTAGCCTCTTTTGTTACTGATGCCCAACACTTTTTAAAATGTTAAGGGGAAAAGTTATGAAGAACTTTACTTTTCTCAGGTAACAGCTGAAAATAACTTTTAAAATTAAAAGCTCCCTGAAGGAAATTATAGAGAAGATAAAACAGGAGGGTACCTTGCAGAATGCTGGAAAAATTACTTTGAAAATCTATCTAAAATGTAATTCATGCATGTCTTTACTTAATCCTGGTATCTCTGCTATTAGGGAATAGAGCTTAACAAATTGATATATGCATATATTTTTTTACATGTAGGATTCTAGTTTCTATCTTCTGAACTCAAGAAAACTAAACTGAATAAACAGGGTAAAAAAATCTTCAACTCTTGCCTCAAATTCAATGTTCCTTTGTCCTGACAAAGGTCAGTTAGACTTGTCTAGTAAGCTGGTATCTTTTAGGGCATGACACCCTCCCATTAACTAGTTGAAATACCATGGCAGAGATAGGAAACCCAAGCTTTGCCCCCTGGTAAAGTTAAAGAACAAAAGCCCCCTTATTCCAGAAAGTGCCCATTTTAGCATGAATTATAAAGACTTTCTCAGCTCACATAGTAATTTGTCACTGGTCACCTTTTCAATGTTCAATCCTGCACTATCACATCTAGATTAGAGGATGCACAGTGCAGAGCCCCTTGGTAGGCAGTCCGAGCTCCTTTGGCTCTAGTAGTCATTTCCCAGCTTTATGTGGAAAGTCAGGGAGCTGAAATGCCCATTATAAATCATGAACCACTGAAGACATCCTAACAGAAATGCCCTAGGAAGCAGCTATAACTCATGGAATGAGTTTTAAGATAAGAGATTGGTGTTTAATCTTTGAAAATGTCTGATCTGTCAGAATGTTTGTTGCTGTTCTTTCCCACCCATTATTTGTATGACATAATCACTGTGAAAGGAAGCAGTGTCTCTTCACTTCCCAGCTTGGTTTGTTTTTAGTGAAGCTTTGCTCTAGTACTTTTTGTTAAGACTTATTTTCCTCAGTAAAATGACAACTTATTGAAGATCCATATAGGGCCAGATAATAGAATACTGATGTGTGGCTGCTAAATAAATGACAGAAGGGATAATTTTCCAGGAAAGTCATTTCCTAATGCCAGCACATGTAACTCTTTTCCCTTGATATGGGCTGCATAAGTAGGCTGAAATATGGATTTGGGAGAGCAACAAGTTAAAAGGAATGATGACTGAAACTGTCATTTTAAACAGTAGTTAAGAGACAGGATTTCTTCCCCCACTTCAGTGTGAGATTAATTTGCTCTGACACACGGAGCTGTGTGCTAGCTGAAATGGGCCGTGAGAACTGACTGTGAGGACTGGGTGCCTCTACTCACCTCTCCTGTCTGTCCCAGCATCTTTTTTACTTCTAATAATTCATTCTTCTGCTTTAAATGCAAGTGAAGAATAACGACACAGAAGCACTGGGATATGTTCTTTGAAAAAAAAAAAAAAGACACCTAACATGCGCCTACCCATCACAGGGCTGAACTGATTTCTATGAAATAATCTTAGTGTTTTAAATGCTAATTATGCTAAAAACACCTCTAAAACTTGTCTTAAATTTCAAGTTTCACTTTTGGAAACTATTCCTGAAAAGACATTGAATATAGGTGGGAAAGTTAAAATGTTTCTGACACAATGATTCAGTATTATTTAGTGTTTAATCTCAAGTTCGTTGCTGTACCACAAGTGTAGTGTCATCGTTGGATTAAAATGTTGGATGTTTTTGTTAATATACTTAAAACTGTAACCAGTGAATAACATCGTAGCATTTTTATTATAGATTATATTTTATTTCAATAAACTTTGATATTTAGATGGAACATTCTCTGTGTGCCAGATCATCACATTAAGCTGTGTCACATTTACCTGAGACTCACGTAGATATCAGTGTTTGACACAAGAGACAGTTAATAATCAACTGCAAACCTCAATTCTGATGAGGAAGAGTCACCATCTCACACAGCTATCTTATCAGAGGAGTTGGTTCAGGAAAGCTGAAAAGGGATCGTTTCCTCCTTCCACTGTGGGTTGGACTGCCAGGCTACCAACACAAGTGCCTCTCTACCCACTGAGCCATCTCATTTTATTTTCTAAGTGATTCAGAGCTATTTATGCTATATAGCTCAAAGTTAGTATCAAACATGAACAGACAAGTATAATGTGGCCTTTAAAAACTATTGTGGACACTCATGGTGGTTCACACTTGTAATCCCAGCACTCAAGTGGCTGAAGCAGGAGGGAGGATCCCTGTGAGCTAAAGGCCAGCCTAGGCTACGAAGTGAGACATTGCCTCAAGTTTCAAACAAAATGCTCCAACCAAGGCCAGTTGCTCTTACTGAGTTAACTAAGTTCAAACCTCAGTCACACCCCTCATTAGCGTCTTAAATGTGATGCTACTGCTTCCATACTGAAAGACATTATGGACAGAACAGAAGCCAGATGACTACAGATAGTCATGCCCACAATGAAATTATTCAATTAGTCCAGAGGGGAGCCCTGCAAACCTCATCATACTTGCCATCAATAACTGCCCCCTACCTATAGTAACCTGTGGGTGGTGGCACAAGGCTTTCCTTGCCCTCATCAGGACTAACCAAGAGACCAACTGTCATATACTCAAGCATCAAACTGAATCTCACCATCACAGCCATCTTTAACTTTGGAGGTGCAAGTTTGGGATTCCAACACTCTGTAGACTGAGACACAAGAAATTAGGCATTCCAGACCAGCTTTGGCTACAGTGAACCAGGCATGGTGGTACATATCTGTAATCCCAGTACTCAGAGGTGGAGGGTGGTGAATTCAAGACCAGTCTGGGATACAGCAAGACTCAAGAAAAGGGGGAAAAAAGAAAGAAGGCTGTCAAGTGGGACACGATATCCTAGTTGTGCTGGGGACCACGTACCTAGTAAATAATACATGAACAGGGCTTAGAACTCAAAGATTTAAAAAAAGTAATTAAATTGGAGTAAAGATGTAGCCAAGTGATAGTGGTGGTGGGTGGCGCACTGGTCTATGTGAATTTGAGACCAGCCTGGTCTACAGAGTGAGTTCTAAGACAGCCAGAGCTACACAGAGAAACCCTGACTTGAAAAACAAAAAATGTAAACAAATAACTCAAAGCTACACCAATTGTCAAAAGCATGTGAAACACGGGGGGGGGGGGGGGGGGGGGGGCTCAGCGCCTGCTCCAAATGATGCAACAGACTTTAAGGATCCCCCATGGAAGGTCTCACCCTCCCTGGGGAGCAGGAGATGAACTAGGAGGTGGGGATGGAGGGAAGGGGATGATGGGAGGAAGATGGGACTGGGATTGACATGTAAAACAAGATTGTTTCTAATTTAAATAAAAAGAAACAAAAAAATGTGAAAATATGTTTGACATTATTTGAACAGAAATTCAAGAGCCAATGAGATGGCTCAGTGGGTAAGAGAGTTTGCTGCCAACCATAACAACCTGGATTCAATCTCCAAGTTTCTGTCCACTGACCTTCACATGCATACTGTGACACACATACACACATTTTTATGTAACAAAAAAATTTTAAGTTTATTAAGTGTTAAAAAAAATTAACTCCACAGCTAGATAATACCATACACCCATGAACAGCCAACACCAGAAGTACTGCCAACACTCAGGGTTGAGCCTGGGCAGTTCAGACCTTTTACACTGAGATGCAAAGATGGCACAAACTTCAGAATTCTCCAGCAGTTTCTGAAATGTTAAATATACACTGCTGTGTTTAACACCTGCCAATTCCAAGCCTACTTACTCAAGAGAAATTAAAACAAACGGCCACACAGACTTATTATATACAAATATTCAAAATCTTTATTCATCAAACTGCAAGCAAGCTAAATTCCCACCAATAAGCGAAGGCACTGGAAATTTTGGAACATACAATGGAAACCTACACAGCAACAGAAAATTGCTGACACACAACAACATGGCACAAATGCAAACTCTGCATTGAATGAAAGGATATTTTTGCATGTGAAGAGCATGTACTGCTCTTGCAGAGGACCAGAGTTCCATTCCCAGCAACCACACCAGGTGCCTTACAACGACCTGTAACTCCAACTACAGGGGGACCTGCACTCATGTGCACATAACCACACACAGACACACACGTATGTGCATAATTAAAATAAAACAAATCTTTAAAAGAAGGAAAGGACATTTTCAGTGATAAAGTAGCCATTTAAATTTGTTGATAATTGTATCTAGTCATCTGCAAACTCCACTGTAAAATAATTTCAAGTGCTTTCATACATTAGCAACAAACAACTAAAACCTGCAATTTTAAAAATTCTAATTGAGAGTTGGGAAGACAGCATTAGGACCTGAGGTGGCTCAACAGTCAAGAGCACTTGCTGCTCTTGAGAGGACCTGGGCTTGATCCCCTGCACCCACATGGCTCCTCACAATTGTCTGTAACTCCAGTCTTAGTAGATCTAACACCGTCTTCTGGCCTCTAAGGGCATTGTATGTGGTGCACAGAGTACATTCACACAAAATATTTGTACATATAAAGGATAAGTGAAAATTTTCAGTTTTCAGTAAGTGTTTTTTAAGAAAGAACTACTGAATTTCAACAATAATCTTGACAACAGAAGCTTCTTTTCAAGTTATTTATTTTAAAAGCAAGTAATGGATAAAGGAAATAAACATTGTCAAATTATTCTGTCAAACAGGAGTGTTTAAGAGATTGACTGCTACTGAATACAGTGCCTAGCTACCACTGTATTTCTGCTTCTTGGGGATGAAATGGTCTTAAGTTTTGAGCACATGTATGTCGGGTTTGAATCTTAGTTGTATCACTCACTGTGATCCTGAGATCATCCCTGAGTTTCCTTCCATGCTGATACCCACACCCAAGTCTTGTAGGAATTAAATTACTGCATTCAAACTACCTAGATCTCTGGGAGATAGCTCAGTGGTTAAATCACTGGCCATTCAAGTTCGAGGATCAGAGTTCAGATGCCCAGAGCCCACATAAATGCCAAGTGGGCATGGCTGTCCAACTGTAATTTCAGTTTCAGACTGCAGAGATATGCTGTCCTCAGAGCAGGCTGTCAAATAAGACGAGCCATATTAAAGAGCTCTGGGTTTGACAGAGACTGACTCAGTGAATAAGGTGACAATTCCTCACCTCAACTTCAGGTCTCCACATTTGCACACACATAGGAGAATATGCAGACACACAATACAGACACACATGAAGATGGAAAAAGGAAAAACCAGCTTAGTACATGGCAAGCATTTCATAAATATTAAACCTATGTGAAAATATTTAACATGTTGCATTAGGAAGGATTTTCTAGGGGAACAACCAATAAGTGTGTGTGTGTGTGTGTGTGTGTGTGTGTGTGTGAAAGATTGTTTTTGTTTTTTGTTTTTTTTTTCGAGACAGGGTTTCTCTAACACCCCTGGTTGCTCTGAAACTTGCTTTGTAGACCAGGCTGGCCTCAAACTCATAGAGACCCACCTGTCCCTGCCTCCCAAGTACTGGGATTATAGGTGTGCACCATCACCACCTGGCATGAAAGAGCATTTAATAGATTGGGATGGGCAATCCAACAATAGCCATCTATACACTGGAGAAGCTGAGAACCTCAAAGCTATTCAGTTCACAAGTCCTGAAGGATTCCTAAGTTTTGGTGGTCTTTAGTTCACATTGGAAGGCTGGAGAAGCTGGAGTCTGGTGTTAGGGAAGGATGCTCACTGTATCAGCAAGAAACCAAAGCAAGCAGGCAAGAAACACAGCCATGTCCTCAGAAACAGGCTACCTGTCAGGTGTCACACACTGTGAAGGGTCTTCTTCCTCAGTCAATTCTTTCTGGAAATGCCTTCATACAGTGCCCAGAGGTGAGAATCTTAGGGCATTCTGATTCAGGCTGGCAATCAGAAATGATCTTCATATGTGACTGGCACACAGCCAGCCTAAAATCTGCAGGCACTGCATGTACATGCACACACTCGCATGTAGGCGGTCTTAGGATTTCTATTGCTGTGAAGAGACACCATGACCACAAGACAGGGTTTCTCTGTGGCTTTGGAGCCTGTCCTAGAACTCGTTCTGAAGACAGGCTGATTTCCAACTCACAGAGATCCGCCTGCCTCTGCCTCCTGAGTGCTGGGATTAAAGGCGTCACCATCACCCGTCACACAATCATTTTTTAAGCTAAAAAACAAAAGGCATTTATTTGGTCTGACCAACTCTAATATATTTATCTACTGTAATTCCTAATTCTGTCTGTGAATGTGAATTCTTGGGGGAAGCTTTGAGGGAGAAAACACACATGATGTTCCCATGAGCCAGTTTAGCTTTCTACTCCACCAGAGTCCTGCAATCAGGTGTGCTGGGCAGTGGGGGTACACTCTGAGTTCGAGGCCAGCCTGATCTACAGAGCGAGTCCCAGGACAGCCAAGGCTGCACAGAGAGACCTTGTCTTGAAAAACCAAAACTAGGGGGCTGGAGAGATGGCTCAGCGGTTAAGAGCACCGACTGCTCTTCCAGAGGTCCTGAGTTCAATTCCCAGCAACCACATGGTGGCTCACAACAATCCATTATGAGATCTGGTGCCCTCTTCTGGTGTACAGATATATACGGAAGCAAAATCATAATAAAATAATAAATAAATCTTTAAAAAAGAAGAAAAGAAAAACCAAAACCAACCAAACAAAAAAATAACCAGGTGTGGCAGCACTTGCCTGCAGTCATAGCATGAGGGAAGCCAAGACAAGAGAGCCTTAAGTTTGAGGCCAGCCTGGGGCTACCCTGCCTCAAAACACTAAGGAAATACTCATGATTTGGAC